GGGACACTAGAGACTAGAGAATATGAATCTTCACCACCCCTGCCCCAATACAGTATTTACAACTGTATTGTGACCTGGCTTGCATGTTGAGAGCAATTCAAAGCACTGTACAAAACTTACTGACAGCACTTGTTAGTTGAGAGGCCTGAAATGATGTTTGACCCAAACATTCAGCACTTATGCAATATATTGTTAGACTGGGAGTCAACTCTTTAAAGAGTTAGTAAGTTGGTTGAAAATTCTTTTCTAAAATGTTTCTACAGAAAAGTAAATGACACAGAAATAGAGTTTAAGTAACCTTATTCTAACAACCTGCTAATATAGATTCAGTAAATACTTAATGTAGAATATGTAACTCAGTGGATATGGCTCAGCTACTTTATGTGGATTTGAATCATGTTCCCATCGATTTCTCTCCACACATTACTTTTATCTTGGGGATTTCAAGTGACATGAGGTTAACCAATCAAAACTACATGATAACCAAAGGAAAACTCACAACATAATTTTTTGCTATTTTACATATATCATGCTGCAAACAAGAAGCAACTACTTAGAAATTTTATTTTCACATATCAGTGGAATATATACGCCTATTCCTCCTAAAAGCATTTGTTGCTTTTTACAGTTCCTGAGGAAAACGCTGCCAGACAATTCTAGCTAATCCTCTACACTTTCTTGCAGAGATGCATAGGAATTTTTTTAATGCAATCAAAAAATAGTTTGTGAGAAGGAAGTGCAGCAGAAATAGTGTATGTGCAGGTGTGAGTTTACACATGCTTTGTGCCTAACAACCTAAACGTGGTATGAAAGCCATCTGTTTTAACATACTGTACCTGTTTGCCATATTTCTCTTCCTGTGAATGCCTAATACTTGTAAGCTAACACAAACCTGTCACAGTCCGCTGACCCTCAGTCAGGTTATTCCACCAGCTGTTAACCTGAAATGGAATTGTACATCAGTGCCACTGTAGAGTATATGCAATTTCAAAAACAGTCTCACATGGTTCTACCTTTTTAAGAATAGAAAGCATTTGTTTGAAATCTGTTAATTTAATTCATTTCTGACTGATTTAGCTTTTCAAGTTGCCATTTTCTTGCTCAAGAATAGTTACCTACTTTCCATAAAATATCCCAACATACATGACGAGTTTCTTCAAAAAGAATGCAGTTATATCCTTTTACACAATTCCATGCTTGTTTACCTCTGCTTGTACTAAACAAGGATCTAGCCCACAATGCTTACTTTAGCAGATTAGCCAAAGTTAGAATAAACCCTGCCTCAACTAAGCCTCACCCTAATGCTGTCTAACATCACACCACCCACCTTTGAGAGATTCCACTTTTGTGCCAGGGTCACTTTTGCAGAGGTGGCTCACAAGATGTGGAATTCAATCCCCCTTGCGTCCAGCTCACCCAGCCCTCCTTCAAGTTTAAAACCCCTGAAAAAGTTTATTTTGAGCGCGGTCAGCCCACAGACAAATTCCACCCCACTTTCCCTTCCTCAGCTTTCAGAATCATTTTGGACAAGTATTGTAGTAATAGGTCAATGACCTTCCAACCACATGGATAGGGACAACGTCAAAAACATTATCTGTAGGTTGGAGGCAGGGGGAAATTATGCTGTATGAAACAAATCATTCACTATTTGATATCAAAGTAACAACTTCATTATATTGTTTTGTTTAATTCTCTGGCACTGGATACAGATACCAGTATTTTCTACAAAGTTGTCCAGCATAAGAACACTAAACAAACATGAGTTTTCTACAATGCAAAAAGTAGATGCCCTCATAAGCTACTGGGAGAATCCTGAACTTTTAAAAATAGAACTTACCAGTTGAAGATGGGGATTGGGAGTTTAAGTCTATTAACAACAGGGCAGTTTTGGTGTGTGTTTTTTGTGTTTTTTTTTTTTTGTTTTGTTTTGGTTTTTTTTTTTTGATAGCTAATTAGCAGATCTTCCCCTTCAGGTTTTGAAGAAAAACTAAAGTATAAAACCAAAAGTATTTAAAATATTAAGTGGCAATCACAATCTCACCTGTGGTTCATATACACTGAGCAAGAATGCATGCTGTACTAGGCTTGGCTAGGACAGAGTTAATTTTCTTTATAACAGCTCTTACGTGGTACTGTGTTTTAGATTTCAGACCAAAACAGTATGATAACACACAAATGTTCTAGCTTTAGCTGAACAGTGTGTGCGCAGCATCAAGTCATTTTCTGTTTCTCACTCTGCCCCTGCAGGGAATAGATGGGGCATGCACAACAGGCTGGGAGGGGGCACAACTCAGCAGATGACCCGAACTAACTAAAGAGATATTCCCTACCACATAATGTCATGCTCAGCAATAAAAGGGCAAAGAGGGGATTTCAGGAGGTTTAGACATCTTTCGCTCTGGCTGTGCGCTGGTCTACCCATAGGGGATGGTGAGTGATTGCCTTTGAATCACTTGTTTTGGTTTTGACTCTCTTCTCTCACTTAACGAAAAATTTTTTTGTTGTTGCTTTATCTTTACCCCCAAGTTGTCTTGCTTTTATTCTTCCTTTCCTCTTCTCCCATCCCACTGGGGGTTTGTGCAGGAAGTGAGTGAGCAGCTGCCCACCAGGGTAACTCACAACACATGCCCTTCCAAAAGTACCACCACAGTGCTCAAAATCCACATTACAAAACCAGCTCTTCTTTTGTCCTACCCAGGACCCTGTGGCTTCTCCAGATCCACACTCAGCCCTACTTCCCTTGGACAAGCAGACCTGAAAGAGTAACCAAGCCTGGTCTATCACAAGCCACAGCAGTAACCTTGAAACAAATGTAAAACATATATGCGTGTTTAGTTTAGTTTTAAATACGCTTAATTGAAAGCTAAATGACTGATGCCTTTGGGATGCCAACTAAATTTGTAACAAGCCTTGCAGCACTCAGGCCGGTCTTACAGCCCGAACTCCAATTTCCATGAAAATGTCACCTCTCAGAGAAAAAAAAGCCCTCTAAACCCTCATCTATGTGAAGTACAGGTTGAAAAAAAATCTTATGCTTAAGGTTCAGAATTTAAGCTAGCTCTGTCCTCTTTGGGAATTCACATTCACTTTTAAGAACACCCTGACGTGGCAAGAATAGAACTTTTTTTTAGAGTGAAAAAGCAAAAGGTACCTAGTCTAGATATACAAACCACTGCTACTGAACTCTTCCCTGCATTTCGGGGTGAAGATGGTATTTTTCTCCAGTACAGCTTTTGTAGTGATGTTGTGAATTACAGGCTTCTAGAACTAATTAGATCGTTTTTTCTTGTAAGGAAATGTATCTACTATAATTTGCTGAGAAACTACTGTTTCTCCAAGCTACAAATCAGGATGAACAGGACAAGTATCTGTTGCAGAAATGGTGCTGCAAACGTGCCTACACCAGAGGAAAGATGCAGTCGTGTTTTACGCTCCCGCAGGGACCCACCCGTGTGCGAACAGGCCGGGCCTGGCCCCGTGTACCTGCTTTCTGAAGTCCCCCCTCTTCTGCGGCCGTATTTTATCCAGCCAGTCCGCTCGAGCTTCCTCAAAATAGGTCTGGACCCGCGACTTGAGCGACTCGTACTGCCAGATGGCGGCGGACCCGAAGGCGGAGCCTGTGAACTGGGCGAGAGCGGGTAAAGGCAAGATGAACGCACCCTCCCGGCGCTAGTCCACGCGTGGCTTCGGCCGCGGGAGCCAGGCTCGCCCGACGGGCCGCCTCCAGCTGCTCAGCCGCGGGCGTTACCGGCCCTGCCATACGGCTGCCGCCCGCCGGCGCTCCCCGCCAACCACGCACCGCGACAACCCGGGCCCCACAGGAGCCGCTTACCCCCACCGCGAAGAGCAGCGGCTTGACCAGGCGGCGCGGCGAGGGGCGGCCGCCGCGGGTGGGCGGCGGCGGCGGGCAGAGGCTGCGGCGCGGGGGCGGCGGGCCGGGCCGCGCCTCGGCGGCGGCCGGCGGGGAAGGCTCCTCGGGCCGCGGCCGCGCTCGGCGGAAACCCTGTCGCTGCTCCAGCAGCACCGTCAGTCTGCGGGGAGAAGACGCGGACAGTCAGCACCGCCACGACCGACCGACCGCCGCCCCCTCCCCGGCCCGGCGGTACCTGTGCGGCCGCGGGCCCCAGCACCGCCACGCCATGTTGGGCGCGTCCCCGCGCGCCGAGCCCTTCCGGGGCAGCCGGACGCCATTTTGAGGGCGCTGCGCTGCGCCCAGAGGCGGGGCCGGGGGAGCCGCTCGGTCACCGCGCGAGCGGCGGCCCCGGGGCTTCCCGGCCGTCCGCCATGGCTGCTGCTGGTCGCTGGGTCGGGTCTGCCCACGTCCTGCTCCGGCCGCCGTGTCGAGAGGCTCGTCCCGGCTCTGCTCCGCTACAGGGGGAGTGGCGGTGTAGGGTCCTTTTGGCCGCCATGATGAGCGTGGCACCTGCTTTACCTCCCGGGCCCTTTCCGCGAGGGGCGCTGGCACCATGTAATTAGGGGCTTCCACGATTTTAACGTATTCTTTTGCTTAGAAGCCTTATGGAATAGAACCTGCCTCCTCCTAGCCTGGGGCTCAGCCTGCAGCAGCCCAGGAGGCAGGGAGGAGACCGCACCTGCTGCCTCAGCCTTGTCTTGTTCTGCTCTGTGTCTCCATTTCGCACACCCACCTCACCTCACCGCTCCAGCGCAGGGCTGCACATGGATGACCAGGCACGAGGCGGCTGCTCCTGCCCCACGGCCTCCTCTCGGGCCTCTTCGCCATGTTCTCCCCCGCTCGGGTTGGTTGTCCCCAGGTGTCCTGCCATCCCCATGCCCCCCGGCCGGGTCTCCCACTCGCAGGCACTGCGCTGTTCACCACACGATCTTCGCGCCGGGCGGCTCCCTGCGGGGCTGGCGAGGTGGCAGGCTGGCAGGGAGCAGTCCCCGCCCAGCCCGCGATGTGAACACCAACACCGTCTGAAATTAACTGGAAAAAAGGTGTGTTTGCCTTGAAAATAACTTGTAATTGATAAGTTTGAAGAAGATAGTGGCAGGACAGCCAAGGAGCATACGTGCCTGTCGTGCATGGGCCCCCAGAGATTGGAGAGCAGAGCTGCCAAAATCAAGCAGCTGAATAAACAGTGGTTTATCCTGAAGGTACATGGGAGGGATGAGTGGCAGCAGCCACCTGTTGCATCAGGAAAAGTCGTGTGTGGGTGTGAGGAACATACTCCACAGGAGAGAGTTAGTGCTGTCTTCAGCCCTGTGGGCTGCTCTGCTGTGTCTGGATGAGAGGAGGCTTGGGTAACATCACCCAGCGTTGAAGCCGTGCTTTAGCAGGAGGTTGGTGTCAGTGCTGTCCCTTCAAACCCAAATTATTCTGTAGTTTATTTTGTGAAGCGAAGGTTAATAGAAAGATGAGAAGGATCTGTATATTGTAATTGCAAGTGGCTATAAGCCTGGTTAGACTTTTAATAAGTTACACCAGCTTCAGAAACATGGTTGCAAAGTCAAATCATTTGGAAGTGGAGAGGAAATGAATTAACATAAATTAACATTTTTCCTCTACATTTTTTTTTTTAAAACAGGCAGTGGAAGAGTTTGCCTTTTCAACTCAAGGCCAGACCCTGACCTGAGGAAACCTGTAAGCCTGAGGTGGGAGAATGCTTTAAGTGGTTTAGTACTGTATTTAAATCTGCATTTTATCTCTTTCTGATTGCACTGGTGGCCCTAGATCAGCCTTAGAATTTACTTGAACTGAGAAATGATTAGCAGGTTCAAAGCTGTATATTGCTGGTGTTAAAATGTATATATACATATGTAAATTAAACCAGTGTTGTAATCAGTGCTCTGTCTGTTTTTCTATGTAACGGAATGAAAAAGAAGTGAAAGAATTATTTAACTTTCAAGTTTAGACACTTTTATCACTTGTTTTTGCTTCCAGAGACCTTATCAGGAGTGATTAGTTTGTTCAAGTAACTTAAATATTTTTCTTTGTTAACCCTTCCTGTCCTGCGTTCAAACCACATAGATTTTGGCAGTGCTGTTTTTAATGTTAAAGTGATCTTTTTGCTCTTCCAGTGCTTGTTTTTACAACATTACTGCTCTCAGTTTTATATAGCCTATGTGTGCAATTTGCGAGGGATGATGCTCTGGGCTTTATGTATTTATTTGGTTTTGGTTTATGGTCATTCTCTTTTGGACAGTTGCAAAGCATATTTGCTATTAGTTGTGGCATCATCTCAAATCTATATACAGTGGCAGTGTATGGCAGCTAGTACAATCAAGGCCTGAAGGAAAGGGTGTACATGGTACAGGTTGAAAGAAGAGGAATAACAGCAGCAAAGTGATTGGCAGAGCTGTTCAGAGCTGCTGGATCTCCTTTGGCCAGGAGCCAGGGAGGTCTTTCCTGCCTTGGGACATGTCTGAAATCACATTTTTGTTTGTTAATGTGATCCACTGGATGAGTGTCTGCACTGATTACTGATTGCAGGGCTTAAATGCTACCAGGGAAATATAAAGAAACCAGATTATTTTTTTTTTTGAACAAGCAAACAGCCCTCCTCACCCACTCCCCCGCCTTTTTTTTTTTTTTTTTTTTTTTTCCACTGGCCCTTTTATTTATATTTTAACTTATCGTATTTTAATGAGAAGTTTGTGTTTGCGACTTTGACGCACGTCCTACCCATAGTGATGGTGCAAAGCGCATAGTTTTATCTTCTTTTCCTTACTGCCAGGAGTGAATAGTGATTACATGGGTCATGCCTATGTAATAGGCAGAAACATTCATTTGGATTATTGGCCTGCCCATGTGGTATGAAGTCTGCTTGAATTTGTTGCTTAATTTAAATTTATCGTTTATTTCACATATTCTCTCTTGACAGTTATCTGTGTTTTGAAGAGGTTACACAACCACCTGAGAGACAAATGCTCCCTCCTCAATGTGAGATTAAACTTTTATAGTGGTATATACACTTCTTTAAGAGTGGAATAAACTTAATCCTTTTCTTGCGCGAATGAATTCCGAGTGTTGCAGTCATTTAAGATGAATGATTATGGGAGGAGGGTTGAATGAATTCTCCTTGGGTTTTTGTGTGGTTCTGTTGTTGTTGTGGGTTTTTTTGGTTTGATTTGTTTGGGTTTTTTTTTGTTTTGTTTTGTTTTTGTTTTTTTTTTTTTAATGCAGAAAACTTGCATATTCCTTCACAGTGTGGGCTGCATCTTAAAACAAATTCTGTCTTCAGTTGTTTGCCTGTCTTCTGTGGACAGGCCTCCTGTCATGAAACAGTTTCATGAAAGACCTCCTTTCATGAAAACAGTGTATTGGTGAGAAGTGCAACAGAAGTTTCAAGTAAAACAATCATTGTGAAAATTATAATAATGTTTTTCTGTGTTACTTTGGAGTCTGATGGTGTGTGGGCAGGTCAGTGGCATTGACAAAGCAAATTATATGCCAACAATTGCCAGGTTAATCTGAGCATATTTGGTACTAATTTACATGATATTGTTGTAATTTTCTTATCTGAGTCATCCATTTCACTGAAACTTCACTGTAGCAAAAAACCATGCCTGAACCTTTGTGCAACAGTTGGGCAGAGCTTTGGCCCTTGGTCCTTGATTTTTAGAACGGGGGGAAAGGTCCTAAAGAGTACGAAATTTTTACTTGTTTGATCAAACTGGTCCTCACAAATTGCTGACATTAGTGTCTAGCAGAAAGGTAGATGAAACAGGTTAGAGACATACTGTAAACGTGAGTATCAAAATTTGTTTTGTTTAAATTTGTATTGATAGGCATTGTAATTGTGAGATGAATAATTTGTTACAGCATTTGATAGTTTTAATTTTAAAAGAATTTTGAGTTGGCAAACTTAGAGAATGGATGAAACACGGGAAATTCAAATTAAAGAATTCCTCAGTTGGGTCCTCTGGTTTTGCTCTGCTGGTATTTTTTCTGATAAACATGTACAGTAGTAAAAGCGTTCCTAGGAAAATACTCAGATATCATAGAATATTTAAGTATTCCAATTATCTAATGAGATTTAGATGCCAGTTCTGGAACTCTCTTATGTGATAAATTATTTTGTAGGCAAGCCTCTTTTTGATGTTTTTGTAAAGGTCAGGCTTGTGTAAAGATAACTCCGTATAGTGTATGTGTATAAACTGTTTCAACAGGTTCCTAATATCAGAAATTTCAGGAGGCTTCTTTGAAACCAACTTCTGTCAGAAGAATGTCATCATCTTCTCTACAAATTTGTGCGGTGCTGCTGGCTTTAGCAGGATTCACCATTTCACTTGTTACTACCGTATCTAACAGATGGAAGATGTCGGACACTGCAACGGTGTTTGTTACTGCAGATTGGATTTCTGAAGGTCTTTGGATGGACTGTGCAGTGACTGCTTTTGGATCAGTGGAGTGCAAGAAATTTCTCTACATGTTGAGTTCAGACAGTAAGTGTACATGACATGTATATAAAATCCAGGGATCTATTTTTATTCCTTCTTTTCAGACAGCATGCTAGCGCAGCTGGATAGCATATACTGTGGTTGTCACAGAGGGTCTATTATGGACAGGATTTGTCCTGTAGTATCTGCAGACAGGCTAAAGGGGCCCAGTGAAACCCTCATGCTTCACCCTGCAATTCAGCTCAGTAATTGCTGTGGCTTTATTACCATCTCTGTGTTGACAGAGAGGTATGGATGACAGACAGTGAATCTAAGATTATTGTTTTAATTGTTTTGGAAGAAATAACATCCTTTTACTTGGCCTAATTTTTAACTACAAGCAGATCATAAGTCAATGAGCATTGGTGCTTGGTGCTTGCTTGTGCTTTGATGAGAGAGAGAAATTCTTAGATATTTCAGAACTCGTTTGATACTTTGTGCCAACTCCGCTCTGGAATTTCTCAGAGGTAGCCAGCTGAAATTAAAACACGTATGTGCAACTGATGCTTTTGTGTTTTCTGAGGTAGACCATGCTAGCAGGGTAGTTCAATTGCAAATAGAGAGATTCTTCTCTTTGTAGGCACTGAAAATTGTTTGAATTGTCCTGCATTTTAAAAAATCTCTCTGTAAACACTGTTTTTATGGCAAAGGACTAGAAAGGACTGACATTAAAGTTCTTTCCTCAAAAAACTAAGTAGAGGAACAGTAACATTGTGTAGCCTTTGAAAACTGGTGTTTTGTTAAGCTTTCTGTCTTTAACAGAGCTTTGCGTTTATTGTTTTACAACTTTCAATGTTGTGCAGTCACTTTGAGTTATATCATGGAATCATTTCTTCAGCACTGAAGTCAGAGCTGACTAACTGTAAGGCAGATCTCTAAAATGTGAAAGTTTAATTCTTAAGAGTCAACTCTCAAAATTCAGTGTATTCTTGGTCCTTTCTGAGCACCCTGTCTTCAGTAGCCTCATCTGCTTTTGTAATGATGGGGCCAGTTTAAGAATAAGTATCAGGACCCTGTAATGAAGCCAGAATTTGTAGCCTCAAAAGGAGGCTAATCATAAGCTTCCAGGGATTTTAAAAACACTACCCATTGTGTGAGAGACAATGTCAGCTTTTCATACCATGCTGGTACCTGTTCTGTTCCTCTTTAAGACTTCCTCTATGTAGATACCAAGATGCCTAAGTTTCATCTAGAAACTTCAATGTGATTTCTGGGAATTAGACTGATGAGATGGGGCCAACGATCCTTCAGTTCTCATATGTGGTAGGAAGATGGTGCGGATGCTTACGATGGTGTGGCAGCTCTGCCTTTTCTCATCTAACAGGGAGAAACAGGTGTTTCAGCCCTGTTATGGAGACAAACAGAGACAATGTGGGACAGCCTCCTTTTTTTAAAATGCAGTTTCATTACACCCAATATGGAAATAAAATACTCCTGGGGAACAGAAGAGTTCCTGGTGAACTGGAGCAGCTGCTTCTCAGGAGTTCTCTTCCCTCCCTTCCCCCAGCCCCATAATTGGAGAGAGGACCCCTGGTTGTCAGGACTTGGTGGATCATCTTCACCTCTCCAAAGAACCGAGCATCCCCTAAAATCAGTGTGGGCTTCCTCACACCAACAGATAGGGACGTCATGTGGCCGCCTAGAGAGTAATAGCTGTCTGGCACAGCGCTGTTTCTCTTTCTGCAGTGCTCAGTCAGCATTCCTGGGTCTTGCAACAAATCTACAGAAGTCATCAAAAAGGTACAGCTCATGTTGATCAAACATAATAGGGGGTTAATATTTTCAGTATTTTTTTCTCAACTGTATTGACTGGTTTGATTTTTAAAAATACTGTTTCTCCCTGTAAACCCTCTCTTAATGCTCTGTTCTGAGAATAACAGAGGGGTTAGGAGCAATTTCTCTTTATGGTCATATATGGTCCTATCTTGATGTGTCAATGTTAGCACTTTTCTTACATCAGGAGTATACTTTTGTAGTGCATTTTCCAATTATTAACTGCACTTGGTTTGCATTGTGGAGTGGTCTTGGAGTGCACAAATTGGTTTCCTGGTGGATGAAGCAGAGCAGGGAAATGTGCTCCAGGAAAGCATCTCCTGAATTCCAGCCGGTGACGGGTGTTCAGTTTGCCCAACTGGGCTAGAGCAAGTCTGAAGGAAAACTTCAGAGTTGTGGATGGGGTTGATGTGAAGCTATTGATACCAACTCTTTTACTGTGCTGATGCAGAGCCTCCTGCAGAGCAGCATTTGCTGTTATGTCCATTGACTACCAAACCATAGTTTATGAAATGTAGTGAAGAATTAACCCTGTGATCTTCAACACCATTGAAGAATGTTTTCCTTAAGGGAATGATTACAATGCCTGGTGTCATATAGGAAAAACTCATGCATCCCAGACCTGCGGTTTAATCTTTTATGTTTATATCTGTGCTTTATGACTGATTGTTGAAATAGCTTTCTTAAATAGGAAGAGATTTTTCTAAAAAATAAAATTCTAAGAAAAATATTTATTCTTGGCAGCAGTATAAAATCTGGGGACACTCGATTCAAGTTCCCAACTAAGCTCAACTTTGAAAGTGCTGTCAGCAGAAGTGATCACTGAGGTCACCAGGTTAGCACCTGTGTATGGATAAATGAATTTGAAACTCTTTGGAGGGCTTTTAATGGGATGCAGATGCTCCAATATACTGGTACAGCGTGTTCATTTTACTATGCCATCACTTTACAAATTACAGTGACTTAGCAGAAGGAGGGAATTCTATAAAGAAGATAAATTCTAACCATACACAGTCTAGTTTCTTTAAAAGATTACAAGTATGGAGCTGCACAGGATTACACTGGCTGTGCTACCAAATCTGTTCTTTAATAAATCAGTGGGAATGATCCTCTTGGCTGCCAAGGGAGCACAAATGTCACGGTGGCACTGTAGTATTCTTTTGCATCTGAACCTACCAACCTACAGCATCAGCTCAAAGTGATCAGTGAATTTTGAAAAAAACCGAGACATATCTGTTATGGACAAGTCATGACTCTCTCAATGGCTAATTGTTCTTGTAGTCTTTATGTAAATACCGTGAATCTGTTACCATGTTGCGTCAGCAGGATTATTTTATGAAGAAACTCTGACTCCATTTCCTCGAGATAAGAGCAGGTTATCACTGCAAGAGATGGTTAACCCCATTTGGATACACAAGCAGTTTAAGGTTTTAACATTGGTGGGCGATGTGAGTCGAGTATGATTTAGTCTAGTCAAAAGCAGGAGCAAGTAAAAAAAGTTTAACATACTTCTACTTTGCCTAGAATAGACTTTTTTTTTTTAATATTAGGATATTCTGACAGACAGATGCAATCCGCTGATGTGTATTATTTTTCATATAGCTGTTTTCCTTCATCATTTAATGTCTTTTGAGTTAGGTCTGGCTCATTCATTCCTTTATATTTCATTTCCATGAAAGATACATTATTACAATTGTATTCCAGTGTAAGTGAAACTATTTTTTGAGCCTGAATGTGTTTAACTATAGATCCATAGACTGTAAAATATTAATGGAAACCACTCATCCACAGACTTAACCTTCCTGAAAGAAACTGGCAGTACAGTTGCTATGGATTACTTAAGATCATAACTACAAAAAATATGCTACCTTTTCTAGCAACAGAGTGAAGTTCCTGTTCTCAAGCTTTTTTTATGCTTGAGTCATCAAGAAAATAACACAGTAAAGCTTTTTGATTTGAGATCAATAATAAAATTACAGACAATTTTAATCCTGTGTAAACCCTAATTGACTTCAGAGGAGAGACAGAAATAAAATATTTGCCAATATTATCACTCTTGCAAGATATTTTGTAGAAATACTGACTGGACTTTCTAGGCTGAGACTAAGAATATGCTCATTTTGTCACTTCTAATTAAGAATTAATATTGTTATTTAAAAAAAATGTTAATATCGTTATCATGTACTGCTCCCACTTCTTATTGTCATGCACTGTAAGCCTTATCTCGGGTTGAGCAAAGAGCAAAGGTAGCCTCATTTTGGAGTGAAACCCAGAGATAAAATAGCAAGGAGGCTTCTGAAAGACTTCACTTGATTGTAATCTAATTATAGGGATATTTAACTATTACTGCTCACAGGCATGACTGCTGCGTTGGAAATTGTTGGTTTGCTTTTGTGCTTGGGTGGGTGGGCAATTATTGGAGCCACTTTGCCGAATAATTACTGGAAAGTCTCCAGCATACATGGTAGTGTGATCACAACATCTACGTTGTTTGAAAACCTGTGGAAGAGCTGTGCAGAAGACAGCACTGGAGTATCCAACTGCAGAGAATTTGACTCTATGCTTGCACTGCCTGGTATGTGACTTTGTGGTCTTGTTTATATTGCTTAAAAATTTGTTGGAAAAAAGTAGAAAGGCTTTTGTTGTGGTAATCTGGTAGTACTGGAAAATAACTGGCCAAGATGGACTTTGTGGGTTGAAGTAATAAAAATGTCTTAAGGAGCAGAATGTGTCAAGCACTTGAGGAAAGGCTATAAAATAAGGCAAATGAAGTCGCTTGATTAAGCATATATTTTAATAGGCATTTAAAATATGATGTAATCTGGTTTTTAGCATCTTGTGGAAGGAATTAGTAGGAGACATTTTTTAACGCATCATGACAATTCCATCTTTATTTGGAATTATTTTATAGGCCTTTTTTTTTACAATACTTGAATAGATAATGTATTGTAGCTGGAGTTTTTTCGTCTAATAGGTAAGAAATACTATTTATAGCTAAGTGGTAGTGGGTTTTGTGCGTTGAGACTGAGAATCCTAGATAATGCAAGAAAAACAATGAGTATATGTTATGCATATTATAATATATTATGAATATATGTTATAGAAGGAGTATATGTTACAAATTAACATACTTGTCAGGACTTGTTGACTAATGTCTTGTTGGATGTGATTCTAAATATCAGGAAATTTAGAGCTGCTGGCTCTTGTACTCTGTATCAGTCTTCAGCAGAATTGTGGATTGTCCTCAAATGCTCAACTGCAGCAATATTCTGTGGGTAGGAAGCATGTCTATAGACAGTAAAGCTAGTTTTTATTAATCTTGAATAATTCGGTATGTAGTATCACAAAATAAAAATGCCTTCCTGCTTAGTTGAATCAACACTGGGAGGTGGCTAAACTAGATAGGTAGGAGGATACTCCTAATCTGAAGAATGTGTAATGTAGGATTAGTGGGAAAGAGGTATTAAACTCTCTTTCTCTCTCAGTCGGAAAGAAACTGATGTTGTTGACCAGCTCTGACACTGGCGTAGCAATTCTTTGAAACTGTTTCCGTTATTTAGGGAATAATCTGTTCTTTTTATCTTTCGGTGTTATCTAACAATTGGTTTTAAAATGTGTGTGGGTTTTAAGAGGAACATAACCCTATTTAAACTTCTTAGACTTAGCAATAGCAGGATCATGTGTATTGGACATTATCCTCTGCAGACTGCTTATGTGAGTGTGCATTTAGTTCACGTATAAACCACTTTATGGGTTGATTCATAACTTACTGCCCACTAATTTAAGGCAGCATCTTGTCACTGATGTATTTACACGGGGTGTTGCCTCTGAGAGTGTCATAGAGCTCTTGTGTGCAGATGTGGGCAATGGGGCTGCGTCAGGACAGCATCCTGGAGCTGCTGAGAAAAGAGTGGGTTTTAAAGAAATTGTGTAGGGGGTGGGGGGGCAGAAAAGAGCATCATGAGTAGATGTGCTGAAGCAAAAGAGAAAGGAAGGCAAACAACAGCAAGGCTCCTGGAGAATTGCAAATAACAACATGGAGTCAGCAGGAAGGAAAAATATGGTGCCAGACAGAAAGTAAATGAATAGACCAGGCTCTGAAAGTGAATTTGTGAAGATTAAATTTGATCTGTTGAGGAGGAGATCGGTTACACTGTTGAGAAGATGACAGTGTATTTGAGTGGTATAGGCAGGGGGAAGGGAGAAGCAGTTTGCAGAATTGTAGAGAAAAAATGGTTTTAGAAAGAAGTGACAAAGAAACAAGCTAGAAGACAGTGAAAGAGGAAGAAAGTGGGGTTGGTAGCAACGAGGTCTGAACAAACAGTGGGACCTCCAAGAAACATCTGTAGCACTTGCAGATAGGAGCCACAGCAGTCTAATTACCATGATTGGTTTAGGTGTGCTTTGAATTGTTGTTTAGAAACTTAGCTGAAACTGCTGCAGCAGCAGATGTGAGGGATTGGCAGGAAGGGAAGAAAAAAAGGAAAAAACAAAAGTGTCTTTGTTACCTCTCCTCAGAAGGACTGTAAAGAACTTCTGTGGAGGTTTCCTTATTGGCAGCTGATCTATGTGGTATACCTCTGACTTTCGTTTTGTGCATGGGAAATATCAGACTTGGTTGTTTTAAACAGATTCAAATCCTTTGAATTAGTCAAGCTGTTAGCCCAAATCACAAACGTTTGAAGTGAGGACCTTTTTAAAAGCAATATTGCATAAAATTGAAACCAGGACTGGCTACTATGTATAGCTAGCACTATCTGTCTAGTCACAAGTAGATGAAACATTGGATGTAAAGCAGTTGGTTAGCTGCCAAATGCTTTTTAAACTTTTTTTTTTTTTTTTTTTTCCTTCTTTTTAAGGTCCCATAGGTGTTTTTTCCAATGACAGAATTTTTGGGATAATTTCTTACAATTAGTGTTGATTGATAAAATGCACTGACTTTGTATCTTGTTCAATAAGATCATTTTTTAGACAACAAAAAATTGAACATTCTGGACTGTGAAGAAAGCTCCTTAGTTAAGGCTGTTGAGGTTATCATATTGTGGTACAAAGAGGATATGGTATGAAATCTCTTCTGTTAAAATAATACAGCCATATTAAAATAATACAGCAAGCAGTTAGCCTGAGGGTATGCTTGTGTGTCCTGGAGAGATATGGGGAGTCCCAGAGGCCTGAAATGTAACTTGTTGGAGCCCTGCTATGGGTAATTCCTGCTGCCATGGTGTAAGATCCCAAAGTAGAAAGCAGCGTCAGAGTTGAGTGCTTGTCCTAACAGTATCTTCTGCAAGCAAAAACCTTGAACTGTTAATGGTACTTTGAGGGATCATTTCAGTTTTATTACTGTCTGTATTTTTTCCCTGAAAATTTAAAAATTAGTGCTTAACAAAACATTAATTCCTCAAATGATGTTATCCTTTAATTCTGTGTATTTATCTTTGTGTCTTTGATAACTCTCAAGCTTGCAGGACCGATACTCTTAAGCCACATAAGAGCTGTCTCGGTTTTTGTGCAATTGATCCCTAATGTGAAGACCGAGAGCTGAAGCGATGCAGAATCATCAGCATACCAGTTTCCCTAAATTGCCTAAACCAGCTGTAACCTTTCCACAGGAGCACATCTTAGGGAGGAGAGGAGTGATGCAGCTCTCTGATCCGCTCGTCTTCTGTTCATTACCCCAACTCAGAGTTTAAAGTGTACTGCTAACTCGAGCGCTTTCTTTCCCAACTCTCACTGGAAGTAGCAAAGCTGGCACGTTTTTCCCATTCCTCTGTAGTGCCAGAGCCCTGCACACCTTGGCTCAGACCTGGAGTTCAGAGGTGCCCTGTGCACTCCGCTGTACAGGTGTAAGGAAGTCACCGGGACTTGTGAGTAGGAGACTTATTTCCGCTCTTGTAAATGACCATGTATACCGCTACGTGCTTTTGCAGGACTTAAAGATGTAAGCTATGAAGGGCTTGCTACACTCTTTCAGGATTTGCTAAAGGCCCAAGAGGATTTACTGAGTTTATAAAGTGTAAGTGTGGTTCAACTCTGAAATCTGACTGACCTGAAGGCTAAACACTCAGGGTTTGGATGCTTCTCTGAACCAAATAACAAAGTTGGACAAGATTCACTAATTACTGTTCCTGTTAGTTTTCTCACTCCTTTTAATGACTTTTAATTTCTGTATTATCTTGACCGATTTTCTCTTTTTCTGTCTCAGCTCATATTCAGGCATGCCGTGCCTTGATGATTGCTTCCATCCTTTTGGGATTCATAGCTGCAGTACTCTCACTGCTTGGTTTGAAGTGCACAAATGTTGGGTTGAGCGATGAAGATGCAAAAATGAAGTTTGCTGTCACAGGAGGATTTCTCTTTATTTTAGGAGGTAATAGCATGGCTGAAATGAGAATGTCATCACTAACTTGTATTGCTTCCACAGTGAGACTAAATGAAATGAACCCTTGTTCTAGGTTTAAAGCTGTTACAGTCACTAAAGGAATCTTTTACCTGTGTGTTTTTTGAACTTTTTCTGGTAGGTCTCTGCTCCATGGTGGCTGTTTCTTGGTATGCTGCGATGGTTACTGCTCAATTTTTTGACCCATTGTACGCTGGAACCAAGTAAGTTAATAGATCTGTCATACCAAACTCTATCATGTGTTACAGATAGCTGCACTAACCTCAGCTGTCTGAGTTTCAGAACCTGGATGGATCCCTTTATTTAGTCCTACAGGAGGAAAAAATTGTCTTTAGAAAATCTTTTCACCTCAGAGATGTTGGTGGGAAGGGAGGAGAGTTCTCTTCTGGAAGATTTAGTGAATGTGTGGGGAATATCAGCCCCACATCTGTGGGTTTCTGTACTGTGTTTATATTTTCTTGTGAGCCTCTATTAAGTGCACGTCTCAATGCTATGAAGAAGAAAAGGTAAAAGTCTTAATTTTCTTCAGCATTTGGACCAAAAGAGGTACAAAATTATACCTGTGACTAGAATACAATGCCTCAGTTGTACAAGTGAATGAAAATGTACAGAAACCAGCTTGAACTGTGTACTGGTGACCTGCAGATAGCTGAGAAACACCATTGAAGTGTGCTGCTTGATTTAAAGAATTAGAAAAATACTTTTCACTATATATTAACAGCTCAACATTTGTCTTATGAATTAAAAGAGGCAAAGTTTGTGGGACTATTAGCTCATACCGTTGCACACAAACAAGTTTCGAGGTATAAAAGCCCTTATTCTTGTCTGATATAAAAGCAACAGTCTTCAGAACCAAATGCCTTCTTATGGCACCTTATCTAGGTCAATAGATTTAGCAATGAGGAACAAGGGTGGAGGTGACTGGGCCTCTCCTTCAGAGAGCGGGAAAAGGAAGAGGGAAACATAATATATTGCATGTGGAACATGAGAGAGCTGGTTTGGGGAAAAGGTGACATTTATAATTTGACAGTATCTCTACCGTGTATATAATTTTTTGGATCAGTAAACTATAAATCTTTAGTTGCTAGGATCATATTTGAAGTGTTTTGTGAGTTTCCTCCTGAGAATCAGCTCAGGGAAGTCAGAGGTGAAGTGCTTTGTTATGAATCAAAGTACTTTAAGCAATTGCTTTGGATGTTTGTCAGTTTTCCTTGTGTTTTCAAACAAGCACCTACAAAGAAATGGCACTTGTGAATACTTTTTGTTGTTTTATGTTCCCTTGAGGGAATTATATGAAGGGTAATAAATACGTTGAAGGACTGAAACAACTGTTGATAAGGAATTTCAGTTAGTGGGATAGTTAGCAAGTTTTACAGTTATCTCGTATAGCTTTGGGGATTCAACATCAATGCATGTTAATCAGTTACCAGATTGTTTGCATTCAGTAGCTCAAGAAATACATATTTTTTTTTTAATCTCTAAACTTTGATTTATCAATAATGACTATTAATTCACTAAGCAGTTTTTAGTGAGTTAACTTTGATCATTGGTAAAGCCAGACATACTCTTGAGGAAGTTTGTTCTTCTTGGACTCGGTGAGACAGGTTTAAATTCAATAGCAGACCAGTATTGATCTTCACTCTTAAGAGACTGGCAAATCTGCTTTTTCAGATTACATTTTTTTGGCCTGACTTTGTTAAATTAGTAAAGTTAACTTCTATTGATTCTTAGAGGAATTTCTCATACAGCTGTGAAGGCAACCTTGGTTCTCCTACAGATCCCTCCTATATACTTTACTTTGGTATGATATCTATGGGATTTCTGCCTATAGGTGACTGAGTGAGCAGAGATGATTGCACGCACTGTGCAACACTCTCTGATTGTTCCTTAGTATTCCTCCAGCAACTTGCACTCCTGTTTTTTTGAGATAATGATTGTCTCCTTGTTCTGTGTTTGGAAAGTGCCTAAAACAGCAGAGACCTCGCGACTCCAATGCGCAATGAGAACATGGAGAGCAGTGAACCTGTGTAAACCTCTGAAACCTTCCTGTTAGCTACTAATTGTGGAGTCAGAAGCTTTGACACTTTCAAATAATGATTTTATGTTTACAGGTAGAAAAAAGACACACATTTCAGCATACCTTCTGTGTAGTCCATGATGCTTATTTTGCCCTTTTATTAGGAACCTCAGAGCACAGAGGTACAGCTGTATTGTGGTATAGCCTTTGTCCAAAAATAAAAACTTGTTTTCCTCTTTTTGTGAAACTCTTGCTAGTCTTTCACAGGCTCAGTTGTGACTAGTCTTTGGGTCAAATTCATTATTAGTGAATTTCTTGTACTGGACTAGGGGGTTTCCTGAAAGGTGTAGTTTTGTACAGTAAAATGGGAAACTATTATTTTCCAGCCTGTGACTATCCATAAATATATTTCAGCCGTAGAACCACAGAGAGTGCTGAATAATCTTTAGGATACGTAAGTTTGAAAACTAGGCCTATACAAATAACTATTGTAGGTGATCTAGTGTGATGCTCATAGAAAACTAATTTCTGTGGTTAGCCTTTTCCCATGATGCAGACAGTAAGGGCAGAAACATTCAGTTTCACAAAATGACTTCAGGGGCACAGCCAATACAAAGGCAAAATAAGTGTTGTGGACTGCACAGAAGATATATTATTATCATTTATTATCAAGAATTTATTAAATATATGCAGATATTATTGCTACTTGTCTTTATGTTGCTTAGAACTTTATGTATGGTCACTAATTTGGCAGAGCACTGAAATATACATGTAAGAGTTTTACTGAACAGACACAAAGCTAGATCTGTTCTCCTGTTATCTATTGAAGTACTCTTCAGTTAGCTGACTTCTGTGCAGACTAGAATTTGTTTGTTTGCATTATTTGTGCACCTTATGGCTCGGTATAAAATAATGGCTTTGTGATTCTGTTAGATGCTGTTTCCATAAAAGCTTTCACATTCCAGGTATGAACTAGGAGATGCTCTGTACTTAGGCTGGGCTGGATCTGTTCTTTATATGCTTGGTGGGATCTTACTGACCTGTTCATGCAAAGGGAAGAAAAAACAGGATTACAGGTAATCTTGGGTTTGTCAGCTGAAACAGTAGCTGTCAATTATGTACCGTTTTCTATCTGTATACTATTCCCTCTCTCTCAACCCCTGGTATAAATCTGTAGCCATATAAAGTACGAACAGGAAATTGTGCCTATTAATTCAGTGCTATGGCATGTCACAGACTTGTGATGGCAGGGCATGCTGTACGAAATACTCGTACCTGCCACATAGCGTACCTGTCGATGCTTTGCCATCAGCAGTCACCTCTAACTAGTATTTGGTAATTCTGGGTACTGCTGATGGTTCTGAGATCTACATTACGAAAATGTGCAGTGAAAGAGCAAACTATCTATTGCCGAAAGAAAAGTATATCAAAGAATATAGTGTGTTATTATCAGGTTTCTCTGCAATGTTCACTACTATTAAAATATTCAAACACCATTTAATTTGCAGAAAGTATAATGGCATTTCCTTCCCAAAGCATATCCGATTGTTCATTAGACACACATGATTTTTTTCTTGTTCCTTTTGGTAATGTCTTGTTGCACATCAAATTGGAAAAGTTGAGATTTCTAGCCTTGATATTTAGCCTTGCCTGGATTTTTTTTTTTTTTTTTTTAATTTCCAATCTTAAATTATTCACACATACAGAAGGTCCCTTTCTAAAGGAGAGGGATCAAATTGTCAGAAATAGCAGAGGTCCATGTCTACCGAGAAGAACCCAAATGTCTTGGAGGCTGTGCTAGATAAGCTTGAGAGGATGATAATGTGGAAGAAGCATGCTCACTGCTGCTGTATTTAATCTTAGGAAAGTTATATCAGAACACATAATAAGTGAGAGCGTTCCTCTGATACTCCACTGCCCAGTCTGAAGCCATTTAAGTTTTATGGTAATACTTCATCAGCCACATTGGACTTTCGATCTCACTCACCATACGTTGATACAAAGCACCAAATACCCTGAAATATATTGAAAATCAGGTAAAACTGATGTATGAACTAGAAGTTTAACATGACAAATGAAGGGTTTGTCTTGAAGATACTTCTGTTTTCCTTTCTCATCATCTTGATTCCTGTATGAAAAACTGCAGCTTGCACAAAGGCATTAAGGTCTAGGTTCTCTTCTGCTTTAGGAACTTGACTAAAATGCCTCGAGGAAGAGCACACGTGAGTTAGCAACCCAGAGTGTGTTTCTGGTTATGAGCGAGATGCCTGTGCTGCCTGTCAGAGAGTCCATCTCCTTCCCCTTAGCTACAAGACTGATACAGTAGGCCTCTAATTTCTGCACCTTTGTGAAATACGTGCTATCGGTCGGTTGGATACAGACCTAAATGAGTAACTTCCTATGTATCTGAAACTGTGGACGTGTGTGTAATATCTATTATTTAGTAACTTTTTTTTCCTTAACTTACAGTTGCAACAAATATACATATTCAGCAGGCCAAGCAGCAAATCAGCAGCGCATTTACACCAAAAACTCTGAGACAGTCATAAGCAACAAGGAATATGTCTAAACTTACCTTTTACATCACTTGTAATGTTAGTGGATTATGAACTCAAATAAAGAAGTGAACTCCCTCCAGGCTTCCGGTTCCAAGTTGCAATCTTTCATCTTAATTTGGAGCAGTACGAGGAGGAGGTATGGATTTCAATGTAAATAGGAATGGTTTTCAAATATAAATAGGTTTCTACAGAAAATGCTGTGATGTGAAATCCTGCGGCATGAAGGTTCTCTGCATGCTGAGAAGCCCGATGATACACCACACTCTGTGGTTAAATTTTCTGACAATCAAGGGTAACTGTTTCTATTTCAGCTGACTCAAAAATGCAGAACTGATATTCTGTAGCAGAATGCAAGTTCATAGCCACAGAAATGTCTTGTGTTTTCATTAATGTTTAGCTTCCTACTTTTGTTCAGCAGCTTTAGCTTTTGACAGGAAATAAACTTTATTCTACCGACTGACTGAAACAGATTTTCTGAGAAGTGGTATCCTGGCTGTTAATAAGGCTATAGTCTACACACTGTGGGCTTGAAGTCTCATGTTATACTGAAATTCATATTGCGTATGATAATCAAGATTTATAAAAGCTACAAAAAATTTCCTAACTACCACTCACTTCCAAACCTACAGATGTGCAACAAATTTCTTGTTGGTTGTAATGCAGATACCAGAGATAAATGATACAGAATGAACCAAACACAGCTGGGAGTGGAGAAAACATCTGGTGCGATGATGCCTTGTGATAACTAAGATAATGGTAGCCCCAATTTTTAATTTTTATTTCTATGGTTTCAGCTTTTCAAATAATCCTATTTTAACTTTGAGCAGTCTTTAACTTTGGGAACTGCATCTGAATTGTCTAACTCATGTAATTCCCCAGTAGCTTTATTCTCCATCATTTTTCCATCATTAGAATTTCTGCCTCCAACTACTCCACTGCTGGGAGTGTATGTTTGCCTTGTGTAAGCACTTAGACAGATGATGATGAGCTAACTTTACTTCGTATCGATGCTTTGAGCAATGGGGAATGGAATTTCACATTGCAGCTTCACAGGTTTCATAACTTGTCCCTTTTAAATTACAAATGTATTAATAGTTTGACAGAATACCTTGGTGTTTCTCTCTACTTTTAATGTCTTATGATAAACATAATTGTGATCTGATTTAGAAGTTTCGTGCCGCTTCGTTGATATTCCAATAGATAATTTCACAGGGCAACCTGTAGTAAATCTTATCAGAAATTATTTAGCCATGTTGCTTGCATGTGAATACAACTGCCTTGTAAACTGACACATTAAGGCATGAATTGGGCACTGATAGATCTTGTTAGGCTGAGTAAGTAAAACTAAAAGGAGTTAGGATTCATTTTAGATTGCTGGTGTCATCTTCTTCCCTCCACTATCAACTATTGTTTTTAAAATAATTTCTGTGGTATTTTGGAAATAATTGAAAAAGCTGAAAAGGCACTTAAAGTGCCTGAGGGGGGCTGAACTCCTTATTCAGTCCTCTGGATTTTTAGGCAGTTTGTGGTGGTATTTTGGGCTAGTTGAATGTAAGAAAAATGCAGAACTTGGGCAGAGGTGAAGCAGTTCCAGTGTTGGTTTCCCACCAAAGCTTGTGTCAGCTCATGGACATGAATTATGATCCAGTATGTGAGAGAGAAATTCAGAGCTTCCTTGGTCTGGCATCAGGTCTTCTAGCGATGTCACAGGGAAGCTTAATTAAAAACCAGGAGTAGAATTCCTATGGAGGAACTCATTCATTTGTTTAATACATTGTTATCATATTCAGTGTCGTTCAGAGGGAAGTAAATGCTGAAGATAACGTGCCTTTCTCTGGTTTGTTTACAGTCTTTCCAACCATTTTGTGGTTTTGCTGTTTCTCCCTGCTTATCTGGCCCTTTCCCATGCACGTCAACGGTAAAGCTCTGAGTGAATTTAATTAACCACCAACTCAGTTTGGGGAGTAAGGCATTTTATGTATGGGTGATATATGAAGTGATTATTTTTATTTTTAAATCTGTAGCAAGCTACTAAACTCTCTTTAAAACGTTTTCACACATTGCTATTTTTAAGGCCTTTGCTCAGCAGAGCAGGCTGCTTTGCTAGCTGCAAATCTTCTTCGTATCTCTGCAGCTGAGACCAAAATCCTGCGTTGGGTTTTGCTACTGGTCTGGCAGTCTTCACAGCCTAGGGAAAAGGAGAGACATTGTAAAAGCAAGGGCGAGTATCACGCGAGTAGTTTTAGTTCCTCTTAGACTTTTGAGAAGATTTACTTTGGTTTTGATTTGGCTACAGAATAATAAACAGATATTTTGGTGAGCTCACCTCACTCTGTGCTTGCTAAGAACTCCTGGCATGTGGCCCCTGTTACAGGACGGATTCATGGGTGAGACATGAAGAGGAGCTGGTGAATTTGCTGGAAATGTGACTGTCTCTCACAAAGTGTGGTGACACCGCTCATGTTTCAGGTAGTGTGAAACTTGGCCAGGTATCTGCGTGCCTCTGCCTAGTGCTGAGCAGAACCGTTACCGAAATGAGAGACTTCAGTGCTGTAACTACCCAAGGGGTGCAGACTGAAAGACCGCAGAGCACGAGTCATACTCACTGGACAGGCTTCCTACTCCAGCTGGGGTGCTATTACTCATAGCTAGCTAGTCCCCAGCTACTGAGCGGCCCTAACAGACGATGTTTCTTTGCTGTGTTGAGCTGTTACATTATAGGTGATAAGAGCAAATCCTGCAAAACAGCTTCTGCGCACACTTACATCCATTGCACTCATTTTCTTTATGTCTCTGTCTTTAACTTCACGTAGCATGACTAAGCAAATGATAGGGAAAACGTTCACAAAAAAGCCAACTTCGCATTTTTGCTACCAGGGCTTAAAGCCTATTTGCATCTGTAACTATATTTTGTCCCAGAAACCTCACGTCGAAGGCTTATTTGGCCAAGTTTGGGGTGAAAAAACTTACAGTGGCATTTTTATTCAACTGTTGAATAGCCATGTAACTGCTAATAAACAGGTGGGAGCACCAAAATAATTCTATGAGTCATCATCATCGCTCGTAATACGCATTGCCCTTCTTACCCCGAAGGTGTCTAACTATAACTCTGGGTGTAAGTGCAGTACCTCAAACGCGTCCTTGAGCGGGAGCTGGCGGTGTCTCATCAGATAAGCAGTGCAAATGGCAGCTGAGCGGCTGCGGCCGTTTTTGCAGTAAACTAAGCACTTCCCTCCGCTTTTCACAGCCTCCTCTATAGCGGCGCCGCACTCCTCAAAATACCGGTACAGGTCTTCAGCCGGATGGTCGAGCACGGGTACGCGCAGGCCGCGGCCCCGCGGGAGGCCGGGGAACGGCTGCTGCCTGGTGACATTAACGCAGAAGGTGACTCCCTCTCGCGCGAGCAGGTCCTGGCGGCAGGCCGCGCTGGCCGTGCCGATGAGCAGCGAGGAGGTGACCTGGCCCAGCTGGAGCATCGGCGGTGCCGCAGAGCTCCCGGCTCGCCCCCGCTGTGGTGGGACGGGGGAGCGGGCCGCTCCCGCCAGCAGCGCCAAGGGCTGCGCTGCCCTGCGCCCCGCCGGGCTGGGTTATATTTAGCCCTCCGTGCCGTCTCGGGCGTAAAGGCTTCAGGCAGGTCCTAGTGCCTGCGGGATCCTGTAAAAAGCTGAAGACATCTCCAGAGCCCGCAGGTTGGTTGTGAAACAGTTGGCTTTGTACAGGCCCTATCCCTAGAGCGGCTTCTCACAAGCCGTTAAAACCTCTGTCTGCCTCGCAGGACAGCGGCTGCGGGGGCCAGCGCTGATGCAGTAGCGGCACAATGACACAACAGGGATCTGATCACCCCCAGCTCATCTAGTTGCCCTCACCCACCACAAAAGCGTCTTCTGAGGACCCAGAAAATTATTGACTAGGCTAGCTGGATGTGGTAGCACTCATCTTTTCGGACTTCAGGAAAATTGCCGGTGTGGTGCCAGGGCAGTGTCTCTCTCTCCTGCCTGAGCGAGCGGACGCGTGCTGGAGCTGGGCCGGGGAGCGCTGCACCAGGAGGGTGTACCAGCCGCTCCCTGCCACACTGAGCGTGCCGCTGAGCTTCTCAAACACTTTTCTTTCTGGCCATGAAGCAAAAAGGAGCCTGTGACTGATATTTGCTGCTGTCACGAAGCTGAACGTGGCCTATCCCAGGAGCAGGGCACGGACTAACAGGACGGGTGTGAAACACAGTGCCAGCCAGCAAGGCGTCAGCTGTGAGGGGCAAGGAGGAGCTTTTATTCCATCATGAAGGGAGGAGAAGCCGACCTGGTGCACACCCGGCATCAGCAACAGCCTCCCGGAGAGCCGCTGGCTCCCGCAGCCCAGCGCGAGAGCGCGGGGTCCCGCCTGCCCTTCGGCACACGCCTCGGCCGCCGCGGGCTCGCAGCCCTGCCCCGGCACAACCCGCGCGCGGGGCGGCTGGCTGGAGAGAGCGCTGCCCGCCCGAGGCGGCGCGGGTCAGGCTGGGTCCCCGGGCAGGAGAAAGAAGCTGCTCTTTCTTTTGCCTGCCCTCATCAATGGGCTTGCTTAGGACCCTGCAGGAGTCCCTGGGCCGTGGTTTAGGGACACCAGGTCAAACCTGGATGCAAGGAGGAGCCACCAGTGTGACCCAAGGCATCACGGCCCCTCTGCAGCCCGCAGCACTCGGCACCATTTTGACTGTGCTGTGAAGACCATCGTTGGCCAAAGCAGCACACACTGTTCCCCCCCGGATACCAGGAAACAGCATTACCCGGCAGAGCAGCCCAGGGGCGTGGAGCCAGGGATGCGCCGAGTGCTCCGTGCAGCCCCTCTGGCCTCCCCCCCCGCCCCGTGAGCGATGCCCAAGGCCCCGTGGCAGCTCCTCAGATGTGTTTCTCCTGTGCAGAATCAAGAAAAGAAATGTATTATTTCACTATCTTGCTTTCATTCCTGAGGGCCTGCTATTTGCTGCTGTGTGCCATACTTGGCTTTAGTGTGGCCCCAAATCTGTTTAGAGGGATTATCCTGGTCAAAGGTGGCAGCCAAGAGCAAGAACACTCCTCCAGTTGAGACGTGCCCACTGGGCTGAGTGCTCCCATCGCGGCTGCTGCTGTTACCAACACTGTGCTCTTCATTTTGCGTGGCATTGCTCTTGATGTGCCATGAACTCTCCACTCTGAGCAGCAGCAGCCCAGCAGCTTGCTCTGGGATTTGCCAGACATGCCTGGTGTGACTTACTGGGGTGAGACTGGCCCCCCCAGTTCCCTGCAGCTCACCCCAGCACTGGTCCAGGAGACCCCTGTGTGCCACCAGCCCAGAGCAGCACTGCTGTCACATCAGCACCAGCAAATGTCACTGCTGCTGCACCTGTGATGCCTCACTACAAGGCTACAGCTGTTTGCTACCTGCCTGCAGCTGACCCGAGGAAGGTCCTTTATGCTTGAAAGGTCATCCCTGCCCTGTAGCACGTCCTCGTCCAGAGGAGGAAATAGAAGCAGGGTAGCTATCGTTACAGGGAGAGCAATTACAGTAAGCTAACCACGAATGCCCTCTCCTGGCAGCGAAGACAGTTGCTTCCCGCGGCAGATGGTTGAACTGCAGGGTAACAGTCCCATCCCCTGACCAGGAGAGGTCTGATGCCTCAGTCCAGATTTTGCTGGGGGCTCTCGAGTCTTGCTGCTGCCGCCATCGGGGTGTGGTGCAAACAAACAGCCCCGGTTATGCTGGCTGTGCGTCCCCTTGCCATGCACCGCGGCACAGAGCCTGGGCCCGCCGTTTTGGTGACTGCCAGGGTCCCCAGAGCCCTCCCTGCTCCGGGAAGCCGGGCTGTGTGCGGCTGCAAGGAAGCAGGAGCTGAGCTGGGCCTGCAGCACGTCCACCCCTTCCACAGTTTCTTAGCAGTGACTTTGCCGTGGTGTTCAGTGGCTTTACAAACCAACAGCAATGCTTGCAAACGGCTTCAATACACACACAGCTGTAAGTGGCCATTATTTAAGGTCATAATTAGACATAGCGGGGGGCAAAGGAGGTGACTGGACTGGCCTGCAAACAACTTCGCCTGGGAGAAGACCAACATTTCTACGCTTGGCTGTATTCATATAAACCTGTGCACGTGGTGCCTAAATAGCTGTAACTGCACGACATGAAACTAAAGACATTCTCTCAAGGGTATCACTCACTGTATTAAATGTAAGTGCTATTTGCTTCCAGGCAGATAGATAGCTATACTTTTAGTAGCTTCCAGTCTCTCTTAGACACTTCGCGAGCGGCTCTCGACGCATTACCTTGACTCCTGCACTCACCCACTTGCGGCACTGGATAGCGCAGGGCTGAAGCACAACCTCCTCTGCTGCATCAGCTCAGCCTCAGGCCCACACTTGGGACCAAACATTCGTGTCACTGCGAGAGCACAGCAATCTGGTACAAGGCCGTGGTAAATAATTAGCACAACACTTTGCAATGACAAATATCAAGGATGTTTCTGATTCCTCGCACTATACGCCGTGACTTTTTGTGCACCTGTATGGGAAAGACAACGTTCAGCATGCCTGCTTCGATGACTAAAGTCAGGCTCACCTTGTTTCCACACACATCGCATCCATAGCGCCCTGGCAGTTGTCCCTCCAGATTACACGGGGTTGAATTCAGGCAAACCTGTGGTGCCAACATTGGCATCTGCCCACTACAAACCTTGTGGCTGAAAGCAAGCTTTCATTCCTCAGGCCTCCTGACCTGGCTATAACAAGGAAAAAGAAAGAAAACTCCAAACTCAGCTTAAATGGAGAAGAAATAAAACCGCCCCGTAAATACAGATTTAAGCCTCCAGCCTTTTTATTTATACAAGGATTCAAAGAACATATTTCAACTTTAGATAAACAGTGCAAGAGAGTTACAGGTACCTTGGTAACAGAAAGAAATAGATAACTGTCCAGCTATGCCAATAAGTGAAATAATTCTTACTCCTGCAGATAGAAATGCATCTGTTTAAAGCAAAGGTGGACTTTAGATATTTTGCTATACCTTAGCCCCTACCAAGCCCACCGGAAAACAACAGGCAGTTTGTCATTTGTAAATGATAAGTAGCTGCGCTCTCAAAGCCTTCTGAGACCCTCGCCCTTAGTTAAAACAAACACATTATGGCACAAAAGAGCAGGCTGAAAGACAGAGACACTTGGCAATCCACTATTTCTGGTTCTCCCCTTTCCAGGGACAGAGGTCCTTGTTAATATTTTTTCCTAGACCATTAGTCCCCGCTCCGCACCTCCATGAAGTACGAGGCCTTTTCAAACCAGAACACCCCGACTCGCTGCCTCGATAACCTCGAAGCAAACGTTCCTCCCCAGCCACCCTCGTTCCCCACAGCTCCCCGTTCACACAACCGGCCCACGGCAGCCGCCAGCCCCCGCCGTGGCTGCAGCCCTCAGCCCGCCACGCGGACGGGAGCTTTGTCACCACGTTTTTGAGCAGGCAGTAGCCCAGAAAATGTCATTTATGAGCACTGAAAGGCCCCAGGCTCTGTGCCAGCCCGAGCGCAGGCTCGGGGCTCGTCTGGACCTGGGCCGACTTCAGCTTGTTGAGCCGTGCCAGCAGTTGTCTAGCAGTCGGGTAACTACAGTTTGCTTTAGGTTTGCTTTAGGTTTGAGCAATACCGAGTCGATACCTGGGAGGGGCCTCGACCATTTTGGCTCCCCAGCGGAAGGTGGCGTGGCCAAGTGCAGCCCCGGGCCACCGAATTGCAGCAGGTCGGGGAAACCGCTTCAGGGCAACAAAGAGAACAGAAATACTGAACCACCAGAAAAACTGAATAACCAGGAACCGACAGAAAGCAGCAGCGTAGGCAGAGTGTGTGAAAAGGGACACAAAATAAACCCGAGGGCGCCCAGGGCTGAGGAGGGAGGAAGCATCAACACCAACATCACGCGCCTCCTGGCAAGGAGGGGGAAGAGCCCCCGGCACCGCCCTCGCCCCCCGCGCAGACCTCAGGGTGCCGGCGGGGTCCAAGCCCCCGCTCGGGGCCCAGAACGAGGCTGAAGTGGGAGCTCAACCCCAGCCAAAGGGGGAAGGCATCGGGGAGGGTGTCTCCTGCATAATAGTTTTCACTCGCATCCTTGAGGCTTTGCCTTGTCAGTTTGGGCTGTCAGGTTCTATTGTTGTAACAGGACCAATAGTTTGAGCTATTAAATTGTTAAAATATGAACTGGACAATCAGTAAATTCGTGGCTTCACATTTAAGGTGTGTTCCCCTTGGGGCCTGTAAGAAGCTTTTGAGGGTAACAGACAGACAGCAAAGGCTAATGGCACAGAAACAGAAATGACAAGGACTTTCCTTTCAAGCTCCCATTCCACAAAGCAAAACGTTGACTTCGGCATCCATGTGTTAAAATTCCAATCCAACCCAACCATTTTTTGAAGAGGTTACAATGTTTTAATGCCCACCCCCCGTCCTTTTTTTTTTTTTTTTTCCTTTGGATGTAAAGTTTCTGCAGAACTGGTTGTGGGGATTTCTGTAACTGAAGGTTAAATTTGTATTGGCAATTCTGGTTAAAAAAAAAAAAAAAAAGAAAAAAAAAAGATAGGAACTCTTTAGAGCAGTAAAAGTAACATGGAACTTGCCATATTTCTAGAAGTAAATGAAATGGTGTAAATCCGTGACTTGCATTTATCCACTCCTGGGTTCTGACGGGTCTAGTGGCGTTGTCCGTCCTTTAGCCAATGTCCAGCATCCTGGCTTTCATCTCTGAAACCTTACCAGATTAGATCAGTTTTAACCTTACAAGGTGGCGAGTGCGGGGCAGTAACACCACTCACTGTGACTTGGAGAAGCCAGCCAGAGCTGGCCTAAAATCTCTGCCTAGTTTGAGGCACCGTCAGCGTCGTCACCTGGCGCCCGGGTAAGGCTCCCTCCACGCCTGCCCGCACCGGCTCTCGGCGTTACCTTGCTCATGTTCTCGTCTTCCCTTAAATTGCACATTCTAGAAACTGCTAATGTTTAAAATGTATTTTTTCCCCTTTCTTAGAAAACAGCCAAACCCCAACCCCATAATGTTTGCTCAGCCCAAAGACACGTCTCCTCTGGCAGGACAGAGGGGAAATGCTCAAACATTTGCTGTGCAGACCAGTAAAGTAGGAGACAGATACATCTCTGCCCTCCCTCTCGCCCGCGGTACAAACACAGTTGAAACTCAAGCCCAACCCCGTACGAATGAAGCCCAACCCCTGGGCACGCTCTCGGCCCACCCAGTCCCAGTGACTGTGTTGTATCTATAACACCTGCTAAACCTACACCTCCAGCCGATGCTTGCCGTACCCGTCAGGCACAGAAGCCTTCTGGAAGCCCTGAAGCACACAGCCCTACAAGCACAGACACTCCTACAGCTACGTGAGGATATTTGTATCTTTCACCCACCACCCCCAGTCTCAAAACCCGGCACAGAGCCTGCCCCACCAAGCATTTTGGGGTCAGGGCAGCCGCCCGCGTGAGCCAGAGGCTGGTGTGCGGTGGGATGGGGGGCAGAGGGTGAGCCTGGCCCTTCCCTGAGCCAAACCGGACCCGCCGCCTCACCCCGTCCCTGCAGCGAAGGGAAGGTGCGTGGGAGGACAGGGAAGGGATGGGGAAAGGGGGAATTCACTCAAAAACCTACAACGCAACAGGAACAAACACCAGAAGAAAAATCCCAAACAAAACCGTGTCCCGTCCTCACATCCCTCCCTGGTAGGTGTGACCTTGAGTGAGTCTCCTGGGCCGGGACGCTGCCCAGGGCTAATCTCTGCCAGCCTCTCTCTGCCCGGGGCAGCGTCACTCCCGCACGCGCCTGGTGTGAGCTCTCACCACCAGCTGCAACACTCCAGTTAGTAAAAAGTCCCTGTTTTTTTCTTATTACCAAAAAAAAAATAAAGAGGGATTCCCATCCCCAGCCGGGGCCAGAGGAGGAGGAGGTGTCAGCACAACTGTCTGTCAAGTGGAGAATCCCACTGCGCATATTTTCATCTCTCTGTTACCTACGACGGTACTGCACTGCAGGTAGAAATTGGACCATTATTACTTGGGTAAAAAATGGCTTTCCAACTAGCATGCAAAGAAAAAATACCCCACACCCCAACCCCTAACACTCATTCCCAGTCACTTACATGTAGGAGACCTACATTTCAAATTGTCATCAGCTACGAGCTCTAGTCAAGAAACCCACTTGTGACCTTTCCAAAGAAAAAGGGAGTTCTGCGTTTTTGGGTCCAACAGCCACTGCCAAACTGTTTCAGTTCAACACACCAAACCTGCTCACGCTCCTACGTGCGCCAGTGGCAGCGAGAGGCCACCCCTGCCTGCCTAGGAAGTACAGAGGGAAAACCCGCAAGAGCCCCTGGCCGCAGCACCCGAGGAGCGCCGAGAGCCTCGGTCTCGGCACTGCGAAGCGGTGCTGCTCGCGGCGCCGTCGTGCTTTCGGCGGCTGTCGGGTAGGCGGCTCTGGCCAGCGGCTGGGCGACGAGCTCAGGGCAGTTGCGTGTTCCGCTGGAGGCAGCAGAAGAGCTGCCCTGGGAGGGGCCGGCTGGGACCCCCCCCGAGGCCTCTCCGAAAAGGGTCGTTTCAGCCCCGAGAGCCAGTTTGTGGTAAAAACAAAAGTAAAACAATGAGGTACGGAAAGAAGGGCCCAGCATTGGGGAAAAGACCAAGAAAGAAGAAAACAGCTCGAGCACTGCCAGAAATAGCAAACAACTGAAACCTTTTAACCTTTTTCTCCTCCCTCTTCTTCTTCTTTTTTTTTTTTTTTTTTTTTTTTCCTGCCAAGGTGAATTAAATATGTCCTTTGGTTGGTTGGTTGGTTTTGGCAAAGTGAAGCCCTCGGCCGCAGTCTCTTTCCTGGCTGTGCTAGTGAGTTACCGCCACAAGTGCTGCGCGGCAATGAAAGCCACCGAGAGGAGGAGGAGGAGGAAGGTTGAAGGCAAAGATCTGCTGCTGGCCCCATTGATGCCGTGTCCAGACTGCTTAGGAATGGCGTGCGTTTCTGGCTGCCTGGTGCTGGGGCTCTTAGAAAGTCTTTTGCCGCAGACATCATCAGGACAGCTGTCACCACTCCCGGAGCCGCTCACGTCGTCACCTGCGCAGAGACCAACAGGGGGTGAGCCGGCCCTACAGCGGGCGACGTCCCTGCCCTCCTGCTGCTGCAACCCCACGGAGCTCTGGCCACCAACCCTGCCCCGGCCACCTCCTCCTCCTCCTCCTCCTCCTCTCAGCATCCCTCACCCCGGGGTGAGAGCCCGTACCCGATCACCGGCTGACTTTAGCCACTCGCTGCTGCAGACACCTCCGGAGCAGAGGGGAGCAGTGGCCCCATCAGCTGGGCTGGGACCGAGGTTTCGGTGAGGCACGGAGAGCAGCCCAGCCTCCAGCCACGCCGCAGCAAGTCGGCTGCACTCGGACAGGCCCTCTCAGCCCCCAGCCCCCAGCCTCCCGAGGACTTCTCCGGTCCTGCTGAACTCACTTGCATCTTGGAAATCCACGTCGTTCCCGATGTTAGCGTTGCCCAGCCGGTTTGTCATGATCTTTAGCTGCATGATTTGCTGGCGAATGGTCATATCGGGCTTGGTGATGTCCACCTCCACCTCCGGGTTGTTAATCTGATTAGCTAAACCGTCCCCCATCACTTCGGGCAGGTAACTGCGAAGGACAGCGACAGGTTTAGGTGGCTTCCCCCCCCCGTCAGGCTCACCTCTCCCCGTTACAGACACCAGTGATAATTCAGACCCTCTGAACCCCAGGGAAGCTGCAGGCAGTGGCGCTGCCTTGCCGAACAGCCTCCGTACGCCGGTGTTTGCCGCGAGGCAGCCAGCTCTACAGATGGCTGAGCTGTGCTGCCACGGCCAAACCCCAGCAGAGCAGGGGGGCTCGCCCTGAGCCCACCTCAGCTTGCAGGAGGTGGCTGGTGGCCTTGCAGCATCCCTGTCCTGGCACGGGGAGGGGTTTCCTGCAGGAAAGGCTGTGTGAGGTGCTGAGGGGTTGCTCTCAGGTACCGGTGGAGCCACGGTGACACCTCCCTCTATGGAAAAGCTCTCTCCATATCGGGGGCTGAGGAGCACCTTCATCCCTGCCCCAGTTAAACCCTGTGGGGACTGACACCCTGGGATGACTGAATGCCCCCAGCCCGGTTATGACCAGACAGGCCCCCCAGGGAAGCTGCAGTCCACTGGGAGCTGTCAGCCAGCAAACAGAGCTGCGCTGCTCCCTTCGGCAGCGCCCCGGCTCCCGCAGATCTGCGGCGCCGCGGGCAACGACGCACAGTGGGGAAGAACCAAAGGCGCCGGCGAGGCGAGGCCAGCAGGTCCGTGGAGAGGAGTGGAGAAAGGTGCATGTCACCAAAGCAGCTGCCCACCTCCCCTCACAGCCCTCCTTTAAACGTCACCCACGGGTGGGGGGTGTTTCTGCAGCTGTTTGGTGTCACCCGGGTGCTCCCTCTCACGAGGGAACAGCATTTCAGAGTGGGTATGGACAGAAAGACACGTATACAATTCTCAGCAACAGCCCTGGAGTTTGTGAGGTAAACCCAGCCCTTCTGCCTTCTCAGTGCATGTGGTATTGCAAAACTGCTTGTTAGCAAAAAACTACAGGTATTCCATGGTGAATGCATTTCAATGCTTAACCCTCCAGCACACAGCAAGATGACAACCAGCTTGACATTGCCAGGTACCAGATTTTCAGGAAACGCAGCATTTCTGTGGTCAAAGACAGACCTTTCTGTTCAGTCTGAACAAGTGGGGCTGGCTGAGATGATGTACAAGTGCCTTTTATCAAATCCTCCCCCTCTCACCCCAGAACAGTGCTATCCTGGCACCGTGACCCTCTCATACCTGCCCTTGGTCATCCCATTCCAACACTTGCTGTCAGCCGCTGAGCTGGCCATTACTTTTTTGCTGCACAGGCTGCCAGGCAGGGTGATCCAGTAAGTCTTGAGAGCTGTCAGATTCCCTTTGGCATCTAAAACCTGGAAACAAAGAGGACACTCAGGACTGGGAGAGCTCTGGGGTGCCCCAGGGCTGTAGGAAGGACAAGGATTCTGCCCATTTTTTTTTTTTTTTTTATTTTACCATCACAAAGTCTGGTTTTTTGCAAACAGGATGTGTCGCCAACCTTCTCCTAAAGACCAGCTGCAACCCCAGCACCCCGGGCTGAAGGTTACATGCTAAGGACTGTCCTGGTACCACACAATTAACCAGGAGAAGATCATCTTCCGGGCCATGAGGGCAATGCTGAGAAGCAGACTTGGTGGAAGCCAGCAGGGCTCTGCTGGGGTGGGACAGGCAGGTGTCTGCGAGTGAGGAGCCTCTGAAATGTGAGACCACGGCAGATCCTGCAGCTTATCATCCACAGAATCCAAAACCTCCACGGAGGAGGACCTCTGGCCCCAGTATCCAGGCTGGACTGCCTAAGGCTGAGTGACACCACGGGCAAGGAGCTTTTTCAGGTAAGTTTGGCACCAAGTCCCCGAGAAACTGGTTATCAGCAACCTAGCCACCAACCCTGTGCTGAGGCAGGATCAGCTCTGCTCAGGTCATGCCAGCTCGACATGATCTTCTTCAGACCCTCCAGCAAAAGCGATGCAGCAGCCTGCGGGGTGGCCTGACCCGACCTGCAGGACACCCAGTGCTGCCCTGGCCGGGCTCCCAGTGCTCCCAGGGGAGGCAGCACGCCAGCCCGGGCACACTGGTGAGGAGGCAGCTTTGGAGGAAAACTCACCAGCATCTCCAGTGCTTGAGCAGAGGATTTTGCTTCCAACGCGACCTTCCCCCGCCTCTTCTTGTCCTCGCTGCTGGAGCCTTTTGTGCTGATTTTGGGATTTCCACAGCCTTGGAAAACCTAAGAAACAAACCAAACTCTCTATCTCATGTCTTGATACTATTTCTTTAATAAATTAGCCCTCCACAGTTATGTTTTCCTTTTTCTTCTTAAGTATGTTTATCTTTCTACCTGCAAGATCTCAGATTCTGGTTTAGTTTCTGGTCAGGTTATTGTGCCAGGATGTGTTTTCAGCTCACTGTAACTGGTTTTGGTTACCGCTATCAAGCAAAATGTTTAGCACTAACACAAAATCAGCACATGTTTTTGGAGGAATCACCAATGTAGATATTAAGTTATTTTTAGCTATTTTATATGTTTCTATTATGATTGAAAAATAAAATTCTGGGAAGAACAAGATGGGAGTTGCTCACACTCATTACACCAGTGGTGTGGGCTTCAAGATTGCAGAGCACATGAGCTTCATTGATCTGGACAACAGGCCAAAGTGGGAGTACCCCAGTGACTCTTGCAGTCGGCACCCACACTCGGCAAATGAATGCCCCCTCCGACCAGGGGACTGCCAAGACAGTAGATGTGTCACAGTCTGTCAGGTTGGATGTTTCAGGGGCAAATGAGGAGGCCGAACTAATTTACCTCCTAAAGCTGGGCACCTCCCATCACTCTAATTACCTGCCCAGGCGTGCTTTGTAGCCAAGGGAAAGCAGAAGCACTTTGAAGGTACAAATCCTCAGACCTTGCCTCTAGGAAGACGAAGGGAGCCCTGGAAGTGCCTGTTTCTCCCAGTTTCTGCGTGAGCAGCCCAGGCAACGACACCTCCACTGCAGACAGCCAGTGCTCAGGCCACTGAGCCTCCCCGTGGCGGGTGGAAGGAGTGCTCGGACAGCCAGATTTAATGAAGCATCAAAGGTCAGGAGAATCTTTGCACTGTTAGTTTGACTCGGGAAACACCAGCCCTGACAAAGAAAGCCATCTGATTTGAAAAGACGGCTCCAAGCTTCTTGTGGTTACCAGGCTGCTGTCAGAAGCTACGGATAAATTTGACTTTGCATGGTGTCCCCTTAAAGCAGAGAAATCCAGACCCGAGACAGGAGCATTGCTGATGCAGATTGTTCCAGCTGCTGGATGCTTTCGCTAGTGGATTCTGACAGTGGGTCTCATCGGTGTGTCTGAGGGACATCCAGCCTAGCAAGCCCCTCCTGGGGTGCACTGTCCTGCTGACCAGATGGATCCAATGACCGTGGCAGTTTAGCACCAAGCCAATTTGTTCATCTCTCCTTTGCTCCATGCAAAATGCCCCACCTTGAAAACTGCACGTAGAGCATTTTCAACCTGGTTCTACCAAAATAAAACCAATTTCATTTCACTTCTGTATCCTTCATATTGGCCTGTCACTGTTGTTAGCAGGAGACAACTCTTTCAAGAGGTAAAACCCCTGGGAGGTCTCCAGGACAGTGGCTTTGTAGCAGCTCCAGCAAAGCATGGCATCAAGGTGATCCTCTCGCCAGCCCAAGGGCTTTAGGTGAGCAACGCCCATAACTGATGGAGAGCTCGCGTGCCCTGCAGACTGAGGTGATCAATAGTCTCCTGCATAATGACAGCAAATAGACGCTGGCAGCCTTCCATAGCTCCTGCTGCCTGAAATCCATCGGAGAGCCACAGGGAGCGAGAGGGAGTGCGAGGAAGCAGGGAGAGTGCTCCATGCTGCAGTGAACACAGGGCTCAGTACCAACAGCGTTTCCATTTTTTCCCCAGATCCCAGGAGAACCCTTGACTGAGGGTGTCACCGGGTCCAAGGGCCACTTCTGGCTCTTCTCTCAAATGGCAGACAGTGCCCTGGCTCTAGGCTGGTAATGTCTGAAGCTCTCAGCTGCAGCCCAAGCCTGTGGCCCTCAGCCCTGAGAGAGAAAACTCCCAGGACTGGGCTTGGCCAGTGCCGAGCTCCTTTGACAACGATAACCTTTACCTGATCGTTTTGCTGTGCTCAGAACCAGAGCTGAGAGCTGCAGCAATTCGCAGCTCCTGACCTCTGCTACCACCGCCACCAGCAAAGACTGCCACATTCACCTGGTCACCAGATCATACTGAGAAGCTTATCAAACATGTTTGGTTCCTCCAGTTGAACACCAGTTAGACTATTCACTCCTTTTCATTTTACAGGATTTACTATACGCCCCTTGGAAACATCTTTCTTTGCAGATGATGCCGTGTTTTCTCACATCATGGGCTTGGTTTTATGTGGACAACCTCAGTCCCGCCTAACAAGGGAAAAAAGAATATGGCCTTTCATGTCAGAAAAGAAACCTAAACGAGTACTTGGATGCATGCTGCTGGTAGTGTTTTGGAGTGTGCCAGTGAATTCCTGCTTGGCCAAGCAACACTTCTGTCCCCCCCCTTCTCCAAGGCCCAGTCAGGACCTGCCCCGCTCCTTTCGTCTGCATCTCTGCCCTAACTGTGTGATAGCTGCGGGGCTTGGGGAATGTCTGGGCAAAAAGCAGGAGCCCTGGAGGGCTGGTTTTGTTCCCAAAGCTTCTCTTACCTGCAGCTAGAGAGGTCATTGTGGTTAAGTGGCTAAATATAGTAAAAATAGAAGACCAACAGAAGAGAGCTTCGTGATATACTTCTTGGAAGACAGGTGAGCATCAGGAGAGCCTGTTTTATACTTTCCAGATGGACTGCCAGATGGCAGCTCTGTCCCACAGATACAACCTGATAGCCCAGTGTTTCCACTGCACAACATCACCCTAAGGCAGGTTAAAGCAGCTGCCTTCTGTCACTAGGGACTGTGCACTTTCTGTAAATGTCTCAGCTCAGCCAAAATACCTCAGGACTCTTCAGACACAGAGGCACCTGACAGCAAATGGCACCATGCCTCCCACAGTCACTGCATATGCAGTCCCACCTTGTGTGCCTGAAGGAGGCTGGCTGGATGTGGCAGGAAGGAATAGTTGGAAACACTTGAGAAGGATTTTGCCTGTGTGAGATGGGTGGCTTCCTACCATTAAAAAAGTGAGCATTTGACCTCTTTCATCCTTCATCTCCTTTAGTTTGAACAGTGAGCACAAAAATCATTTGGTGCTGGCAGTTACACATGGTATACCCTCAGCCAGGACCAGGCACATGCTCTTACCTTGGCTGTGATCGAATCTTTGTTTTCTTGCAAGTTAGAAATAGCTTCAGCAATCCTCATATGAATGGTCCCTATTACAGTGTCTACGTTGTACGGTCCGTCAATTCGATCAGCCACTACGACCAGGGAATCTAGCAAAACAAGACAGAGACATCTCTCGTCAGACTCTGTACAAACCAAGTTAAAGATCACGCTCGTGCCAGGTGAGATAAGCTGCTGACCCCTCGGCAGGCTTGTTGGGAGGCATTGCTCCATTTTCCCTACTGCCCTGTTGTGGTTTAGGCCTGGTTGGCAGCCAACCACAACGCAGCAGCTCTCTCTCCCTTCCCCTCCAGCAATGAGAAGGGACAGAGAGCCAGGCTTGGGGTTCGAGATAGGACTGGGATGGGGAAAAATTCCCCTTTATGATCACGAGCAAAAGGCAGACTCATTAGAGGAGGAAAAAAAAAGAACATACATTTATTACAGACACTAACAACAACACATAACAGAGTAGGACAGCGAGAAGCATTGCCACATCTTGAGAACACCTTCCCCCCACCCCTCCCTTCTTCCTGGGCTCAGCTCTGCTCCCGATATCTCTACCTCCTCCCCCAGTGGCGCAGGGGCAGGGAATGGGGGGTGCAGTCAGCACTGACACTTCCTTTATCTTCGGTGAGGGGAGTGTCCGGAACTTGTTCCTCCTGCTCCATCGTGGTCCCCCTCTCACAGGAGACAGTCCTCCACAAACTTTCTCCGACTTGAATTCCTCCCACGGGCCGCAGCGTTCCCCACACTGCTCCGTCATGGGTCACTAACTTCCTCCGACTGGATTCCCTCCCACGGCTGCAGCCCTTCCCGAGCTGCTCCGGCGTGGGACTCCCCTGCATGCTGCAATCCTCCCAGCACTGAATTACAGCAGCGGGGCTGCCTTTTCCCATGAGACCCCGGCCTTCTTCAGGCACAGAACCTTGATCATCCGAGCAGAAGCCACAGGCCGTAAATCAATGTCTGCTCCACCGTAGATCATCATGGGTGGCAGGGGGGGCCGCCCTGCCGTCTCCCCACAGGGTACAGGGGGGTCTCTGCTCCGGCACACCTCCCCCCTCCTTTCTTCCTCCGTTCCTCCACTGACCTTGGTGTTCATGCAGCTGCAGCAACTCCTCCTCACAAGTCCGACTGCCCGTCACCACGTCCCTTCTTAAATACGTTATCGCAGAGGCGCAGCTGATGGGCTCAGTTTCCCAAACAGAAGTGGAGCTGACTTGGAGCTGGGGGAGCTTCAAGAAGCTTCTCACAGGGGGCCACCCCGATAGCCCCCTCCCCTGCCACCAAAAAACCCCACCACTCACTCAACCCAGGACATGCCCAAACGCATGCTCGTTTTCCTCTGACACAGGACAGCTGTCCCTTCCCAGCACACAGGTGAAGCCACTCTCAGTGGCAAAGGAACAGAGGTCATGTCCTGCAAATGGTAAATGGAGCCTGTATTCACACAAAGTGCCCAACATTTCCTGGGGTGCTACAGGGAAAAAAAAAAAAAAAAATTGAAAACCGGTGCAGAAATATTAAGTGATGCCTAGCAATACTTTGCCCTAGCCCTCCTAACTCATTGCATGTCTTCAGCAAAGCACTGCAGCTAACAGAAAGTGGGAGAATAGGGGTCAATAAAGTGCCCAAAGTTCTGGATATGGCAAATAGCTTCTGTAGCAGTGAAGGAGTGAGAAAAGGAATAATCCTTCTCGCTACCACCTCTGTAAGGACAACATGTGACCCATCAGGGACATATCAGGCTATAAAGGCAGAGAAGCAGCCCAAAATGCCCACAACTACACCGGTAAGCAGGACAGGGAGTGACTGAGGTGTGTCTCTTCCTCTCAGCTCCTCTTATCCTGGAAAGCTCTGATGTCCAAGCGCTCCTGCCTGGACAGCCGCTTTGGGACCACGCTTGGCTTACAAAAAAATTACCAAACTCTGCCTACCTCCAGAGATGATTCTCAACACTCCAGCTGGGTCTGAAGCAAGGACAGCATATATGCTTGCGTGGGGCACTGGGGAATGCCACTGCAGAGGAGAGCTGACATCCTCGGTGTCCAGTGAGATTTAAATAGGATCTTAGGACAAGGCCAAAACTGGGTTTGGACATTTAAAACAGGATCTTAACCAGGTTTCACTTCGCCAGGCAAAAATTTTAATTCTGAAAGTCACCACTACACTGCTTTTGCTTCAGCTTCCTACCACTCGTGCTTTAGTAGTCCAGAGGCCAGGCCATGCACAAGCTTCATCAGCGTTTAGGGACTTGGCATTCAGTTATGTGTGACCTCAGACAGCTCCAGTGTGGTCCTCATCCCCCAGGGCACGCCAGAAACCTCCTGGCAGGACAAGGGATCTGTCAGAGCACTGGGGTGGCCTGTGCTCATCTGGAACAGAAAGCGCTTCATGTTCTTGTGGCCTCGCCACGTGGAAGAAAACAAGTGTGATGGCTTCGTGTTGGTTCTTCTCTACACAAAGAGAGTCAAATCCCAGGGTCTAGGTTGGCTATCTGTACCATTCATAAATGGAGTTACTCATTAGGAGTGATTAATTCTTCTGTCCTAAATCCTGATACCTCACCCATCAGCCTGGCAGGAGACTGTCACAGCAGATGGTGTGATGTTGCAGAAAAGCTTATTCAGCATGAGTTTGTACTGCGGCCATTATTCATGAGCAACAAAACCACCAGGTGAATTATACCCGGCAGTTCAACGGAGTATCAGTAAAACATGGCCTTCGACCTGCACCATCCCACAGTGTTCTGTGTCACCTGTGATACTGCTTTAGAGGACTGGTACTTACCTTTGAGCTGCACAGCAAATTTCCTTTGAGCAGCAGTCCAGCCAGCTGGGGCACAACCATGGACCACCACCATTTCAAACCCGCTAGGAAAGTGTTCAGCCCCTTGTCTGGGCAAGCCAGCAGGACTTGGCCCAAATACACCAAATTTCTTCCACAAGGTCTAGGTGAGGTTTGTGCAGAAACACTAGGTCCACAGTGGACATAGTGTGCCAGTAACGAAGGTCTGATCCTGAGCCTACTGTTGTCAATTTAACAGCACGCTTGACCCTCACAAGTATGTTCTCTCTGCTGTTACATGATTGAGGTTCAGACCCTGACAGCTCTCAGACAATGACCAAGGCGGGTAAAGACTAGATGAGCAACAGCACAGACCCACAGAAGATACCAGATCATGCCCACAGGGCTTCCAGTCTGAAAGCAGGTCCGGCCTGTGAGGAGCAAGGGCAATAGTCAAACAACTGGGAGGCCTCAAACCTCAGCCAGTCTGGAGCACAGATCACAAAGTACTCTTTGCTCAGGTCTCTAACAGAGGATTTAACAACATGCAGAGTCACAGATTGGAAACATTACGTATTTATTTTCAGCACTTAAAAGAAAAAAGGTTTTCCTGGTTAGCTTGAGCAAGAATGGAGACAAGGGCCACAGTTTCCAAGTTAATGCGCTCTCTTCTCCTGCAACACAGTCCTATGGCAGCGCTGATTTCTAAAGCTAAACACACTATACAAGCAGGTAACGTTATTTTGCATTCTGGTAAATAACATCTCCTGCAACATTAAAGAGTTTGCAATTTAACTTTGCTGCCACTCAGGGGTTGTAGTGTCATCTTCGAGACTGTATTTTCCAGACAATTTTAGCTTGCAGAGGCACTAATGTTCAGATACAGACATTTAAATCAAAGGCTGCACCCCCAAATTAGTAATAAATTATGTTTGAACCACTTACTATAAAAATCTCCTTTAATTTGACCTGCCCTAATTTGTCAAATGGGAAGAGCAACTCTGTGTTTAGTGTAACAAAATCCTCTCCACCTACACAGAAGGGCCTGGAGAAGGGTGAAGAATGGACAATGCCGGTGAACTGCTGCCTTTGACTCTACATCTTACTCCAGTCCTTGATCACATTGTGACCTCTGACACTAAAACGTACAACGGCAATTTGAAGGAAGCTCCGATTTCCTCCTAGCCATCACCCCCTGACAGTGCCTCCTGGGGAAGAGGAAGCCGGAGTAAGTGCAAAATGCAGCGGGAATTGCCCCCCTGTCAGTCAAGGAGAGCTGTACGTTGACCTTTCGGGAGAGGAGCAGTCATCCTGCCAGGAGAGCGGTGACAGGTAACAGTTGGCTTGCTCTGCTCAGAAAGGCCAAAGCGCCATCAAAGTCCTGGTGTAAACCCTTGGGGAAGGGAATATTCCTCCCCCTCTTTTGCAGCAGCCTCCCAAGTCGCTCTCACGGGGAGCACTTCCAATTAGGCACAGTGAGCTGCCACTTGGTTCGTCAGCCCCCAGGGCCAGGCGGGCAGCTGGCCAACGCACCTCACCGAGCAAGTGCACCGGCTTCTGTGTGCCGTGGTTCGGTATTTATTTTGCAATGTCCCTTGAGAGGCAGATGACACACTTTGAACTTCAGTGGGGCTTTTATTGTTAACACCACCACACGTCAACCCTGAGCCAGCCTGTCGGGCTGCAGCTGGCTGGTGAGCTGGTGGTCTTGCTGGCCAGGCAGTGGTTGCCAGGGCAAGGGAAAAGGCCAAGCCCAAAGCTCATTTCCTCTGGTGCCTGCCTTCCATGAGCCCAGACAAACACCAAGGCTCCCTCAGGTCTCTGATCACTCCAGGTCTGAAGGTACAGCCTGGGAGAGAAAGAAGAGCTTTCTGGCTGATGCTCTGTGGGCACAAGGAGAGCTTTACCATTGCAAACAACCTCCCCTGATGGACCACAGACCCTCACCAGCCTTAAACCACGTCCACCAGCTCCGCAAGCCACTCTCAGCAGTAGTTCACATTTAAACCAGGAGCCACAGGCTCTGGAAAAACAGCTGAGTGATACCTGAGGTCATCTTAAAAGAAATGCTCAGCTCCTATCAGGCAATGCAGAATTTCCTGCAGAAACTCCTGGCTGAAGTTCTGCAGCCTGTGCTGCACAGCCGATCCAACCACACCATCACAGTGATATTTCTAGCTTTAAACTCAATGAAACAGGCACCTCTATACACATACAAACCACCCTAAAATATCCATTATCTTAGCTGAGTGACAAAACAAAACTGAAATGAGCTCTTTTCTTATTTAAAATACAAGTCTAATTTTCCCATTCCTGGCAATGCCTGTAAATTCCCCTTCCCCATGTATGTGTTTAAGATACTTCTTTCTGTTTAGAAGCATGTGATTCTGATCCCTTTGCTCTCCACCCATGGAAACAGTTTATGGCTCCATGTCTCTAGACTGTGTCCCAAGGAGGGCAGCAAATGCTTCTCCTGCGCTCTCACAAGTGCTCTGGTATGGATGAGGAGGCAGCTCTGACTGTGTACACGTGGCAGGATCTGCCCCTAAGCTTCAACACTTGGGAGGGAAGGAAGAATTATTTGAATGCAAGCTGTGGGCAATCCCAAATGAGCCCAGGCAAGATGAAAACCCTTTAAGCCCTTGTTAGCCAGCCCAGAAGTGCCCTTTCTAACGGTGTTAAAGCCCAGCAAAATGTCCTGAAATAGCTTCTAGGGATCAGATCACGGACAGAGAAACTGTAGTGTAAAAGAGCCTCCAACGGTCTGTTCTTTACTTGCCAAACACTGCCTCACGGAGTTCAAAAGGTGCGGTGAGAGGCAGCTGTGCTGTAGGAGAGGAAGGCCACCTTACCCATCAGGTACTTCCACTCGGTGTTCAGGTCCGCTTGGTTGGCCAGGCAGCCCTTCACGACATTCAGGCAGTAGTTGTTGCACGGCTTCACGCTGGACATGCCCCGGCAGTGCGGGCAGTACATCAGCTTCATGATGGCGCGAGTGCACTCGTGGCTGAGAGATACCTGGGGGAGACAGATCGGAGTGAGGCACACAGGCTGCTCGGGGGGCTTCGGGGTGAACTCCCCCCTTCCTGGGGGTGAAGGAGCTTGTGTGATCTGAAAGGCAGCACGGCTCCCCGGGTGTGCGGCCCTGGGAAAGCTGCTTCCCCTCTCACTGCCCCTCCCTCCTCCCACCCCTCCCCGGGTGTCGCCCCCATCAGAGGGACGGGACCTCCGAGGCAGCTGCTAATCCCTTCGGCTGTGTTTGAAGCCAGGGTTCTGGGAAAAATCTGTATTTGTGAGCACCGTCCTCCTTTCCAGCCAGGTCTGGGGGCCACAAGGACAGCCCGGGCTGTAACCGTGACCCTGACACATGGTGCACGTGTGCCCTGGAGCCTCTGCAATCAGTGCCCCCGCCATCCCCTTTCTGCGGGAAGATGTTTGCTGCCACTGCCCCGCAGATGCAGGTGCCCCACCACAGACTGCATCTCCGGCTTCCTGGGGGCATGCACAGCAGGGGCCTGGACATGGAAAGTTCTCAGCTGGCATCTTTGGAAAGGAGAACGGTGTTAGGGGAAGACTTGAACAGTGCCAAAACTATGGGCAACTGAGAGCACTCGACACCGGGAAGTGATTGCTGTCTGAAAGCACTTCAGGAGCCGCGGGCAGCCGGTGAAGCAGGCCAACAGACACCATGCCAGTGGCTTGCAGGCACTGCACGTGCAGTCGATGTTTTGCAGAGGTAGCCCCGGAGGCAGCTTTGCCACCTTTAATTAAACCACCATGGTCCCATAAGCACAGAGCCAGTGCTGGTGCAGAGCCCGGAGGGCTGGGCCTCTGCAGCACATCAAAGTCCCCCCAGACTGCCAACCATGGGACTGTGTCCCCCTCTGACTGCCACGGGCAAGGGGCTGTCAGAGTAAGCTGAGGGATGAATAACAACCTGGCAGACCCTGAAGAGATGCTGGCAGAGCTCAGCGCTCCCCTGTCTTTTTGCTAAAGTGTTTTCTCCTTTGTGGTCTTTTTCCACCTCTGCTCAGATCCATTTGCAATACCCCTGTCATTCTTTTAAAACCATTTACAAAAATCAACATAGGCGTCTGCATGCAAGTCTCATGTGGCACAAGGTACTCAGCACCCACAAGAAGCCCAGGAAAAGGGGCAAATCTCAACATGGAAAAATCTATGAGCCGCAAGCTGTAGCTGCAGTGCTAAGAACTGCCCCAACCTCTTTATCACTTGTGAACAATACTTTGAATATAGCCTTTTACGTTCGTTCCGGGGGACTCCAGAAAGATTCACTTCTGAGGTACCCCTAGGAGACTGTGAACGTGTTGAGCCCACTGTCAGAGGTTGAGAGAGAAAATCCCTAAGCCTCCCCTGTCCTGAAACTGCCTGCGTGGTAGCACCTCACTTCCAGTCAGCCTTGGAAAACAGACGTTGGATGATGCTGGGGCTTCATCAGGCAGGATTTAGTTAAAATAACCTCGTGAGAATCTTCTTCAGGACCGGGACAAAAATTTCTATGTCTCAGAGAGAGAACCCAAGCAGAGACCGCTTCCCTGCCTCGGGCACCAGAACAAGCCCTGAGCTGCCTGCGGATAAACACCGTGCTTCACCGCGGCTGCAGAGCTGAGCCTTGCGGGAAACACCACGCACGCCAAGGCTTCGCTCTGCTTCCTCGGTGAGCTCTCTGCCTCCTTTCTGGGACAACTCCTGCAGACAGACACCAGCACCCGGCTGCCGTGCGGCTCTGCTGCCAGGAGATGGAGGCTTTGTCCCGCCGCACCGCACGCGTGCCGCACGCTTCATCCCCGGGAGAAGCCGGCGAAGGCACCGCCGTCTCCCGCCTCAGTGATCTGAGATGCAACAAAGCAGAGGGACAGGCAAACAAAAGAATAGTTTCTTTTTCATCTCAGTGTTTAAATAACCATGACTGAATAGTGACTGAAAAGACAACAGGTTAGAGCACGTTGAACACTAACACAGGCTGTAGCTGAAGATCTTCTGAAACCAGAGCATTTACACAGAAACCAGGAGATGCAGCTAGGAAAGGAGCTGCGACCTCTCCTTCCCCACAGAGAGCATTCGCAAACATGAATTACGCGGTGAAGCTCCAACCGGAGCGTGTAATCTGCACAGGCAATCGTGTCCTGAACACAACCTTGCCTCCGTGTTTTACCGGCACGCCCCGTCACCGCTCGTCCCAGCTTACCCAGCTGTGGCCGTGCAGCACCGTAACTTCACACAGCACAAACCGGGATGTAACGTCCCGGGACCTGCAGCACGAATGAGTCGTGTAGGCGGGCCCTGAAACGTGGGATTTTGCACAGTACTCATGAGAACCGGGGAGCAGCCGGATGGTTTCCCTGTACCTGCACAGATCTGCGGTTGTGCTGTGCAGCCTTTTGGGGTGGAGGGAGCTGAAGGGAGCTGGCTGGAAAGCCGGGGTGCAGGAAACACCCCTGGGCAGTGCAGGCCATCCATCCGGTGGCAGAGAGGACAGCCACCAGCAGCTAGATATCAAAGCTACTTGGTACCTGGCCAGAGCCCATGGGGTACACAGAGAGAGGCAAGTGACGGGTCTTGGCTCAGAAAAGCATCTCCAACACACTCAGCTTTAAAGTACAGAGTAAACCCAGCAACCGTACTGGAGCTACTCAGGTGACCACAGTGATCCCCTATTTAAATTAAGCTTGTGACAGGCCCAGTGGGCACTTCATGAGTATTTCTGCTCGTGGAAATTTCTCCTTGCCCACACTTTTATTTTTGTGCATGTCTTTTTCTGACAAAACAGAAAGGACCTTCACGCCCTGAGCACAGCAGTCCCTCGCCCACCGGAGAGTAACGGTGCAGGGCCACCCGCGCCCTGCCACCAGGCAGAGCTGCAGAAGGCGAGCGGTGGGACTGCTCCTCGGTGCCCACCCACTCCATCTGGCCTCCGGCACGACTGGTGAGCACCAAGGCTCCCCGTGATGCAGACAGCTGCCTGCCGTCCTGCAGCCCACCTCCCTCCAACCCCTCCACGGCTGTCAGCCAGCCAAAACAGCCTGTCCCCAGCTACACCGCCTGCGGCCACGCTGGGGCCCACGGAGCAGCCGCCTCCTGCCCACGCAGCTCCCGTGGGCTGCTGTCACCCGCCTTGGAGCAGCGGGTGCAGGCAGAGCACAGGGCGATGGCAGCGCCCGAGGCCCAGGCTCAGCTCCTGAGGGTCTGGTGCGGGGAAAAAAGCTGCTTTCGCACCTCAGTGTCCAACGATAACACTCAGCGAGGATCATTTTGGGGCATCAAGATGGAGCTGTGTGGGTAGCGCCAGCCTGTCACTCTCGCAAGGTGGCTCTGTCTCCCTGAGGACAGTGGAGTGCCGCACTGCCCCAGGAGCGGGGACCCTGCAGTGTCCAGGCGAGGCGGCACCTCTCGCCCCTGCACCCCTGCCCCAGAGCCTCCCCCCTCTGAAGGTGAGCAGCCGGCACATCCACCACCAGCTGCTGCTTCACCGAATCTTGCAGGTGCCAAGCGTTCGACTTCATCTCTTGGCAGAAAGGATAAGTATTAATTTTTGCGGGTGGAAGAGGCCAGGCTCCACTCCCTTTCCCCAAAGAACTACCCCAACCCTTCATGTTGGCAGCAGCACTCCTTTTTCACAGGCAGGCTGCAGAGGTGAACCCAGAACAGAAGGATGAGAGGGCAGGAAGAGGAATTTGGAGAGTATTTTCTGAATGTTTTGCTTGGCCAGAGCTCAGTTCCTCATCGTTCCACCCAGCCCATGGATTTCTGTTCCACACAGGGCAGAGAAGAGCAGGGGTTTGGGGCTCGCAGGGCCCCTCCCTGCCCTGATCCTGCACCACCCTTTTGGGGAACTCGCAGCACATTAAGGAACAGAACCCTTCAAACTTCTCTAGTCCTTGTGGATTAGTTTCCTGAAGTAAACTTCCAGGGTTTATTTCAGGTATGCTGTATCCAGACAGGGGAATGCCAGCCTCAGTTAGGAGGGGCTGAGATTCCCTCCCCTGTATGGGTACAGCAACCCAAGCAGGAGAGCGCTGCCGCTCCCCTGCCTGCTCACCTCTCGGGCACAGCCACTCCAGCAGCAGCACTGGGCAGAAAGAAGAGCTCGGGCTGGAGCCGGGACCATGCACCCTCCACGGCACTGGCAGCTCGTTCCAGATAAACACCCACGGGGAGTGAAGCGGTGTCTTCAGGCTGGCAAAGTCAAGACTGACTTCCACCTGCACATGGAGACATCTTCACTTCCTCGTGCTTCTCCTTTCAGCCTTCAGCCTTTAAAAGAACCTGAAACCTTATGAGCTACCCCACTGCCCAACAGCTAATGGGTACCAGCTGAAACCTGCTGGAGAGCCCCGTTGGCTTCCCAGTGCAGATTTGCAATAACTAATGGATCAATAAGCAACGTCCTCTATTCATCGTAGGTGGCCTGAAAGCAGAAGCATGCAAACTCCTACAGATGGAGTAAAACCCAACATAAAATCTTCATCTTTACATAACCCAACACAGCATGAAGACAGTACATGACAATAATTGATTTCTCTAAGTACCATCAGCCTGGCCCAGGCTGTGACTGGTTGTCCTTTAAGGAGACATAGTTCTCCTTTAACTTTAGTGGCACCTGTAGTCTTTTCTTAGCTCAGTGACCTAGAAACTGCATTAAGATATCAAGAGAACACGCACAATACATTGGAGAAGCCATTTCCCAAAGATCTGAAAAAAACCTACTGAGAGATATGGCTTGGAGCCAGGGCACTCTTCATTCAGTTGTCAGAGGTATAAATAAATATGCAAAACAAAGCTAAGCCCAGCTTAAAAATACACTGTTCCTACGTCACTGCTCAGTTAAAATCCACATACTCTACTCTGATCCCAGCGACATCAGTGGGTACAGTCCCTTAAAGTGTAAGCCCAGAGATGAAGTGATAAGGAAAAAATATTATCTTCTAAGAGATACCCCAAATAGGGGATAAATTGGTATTGAGCAATAAATCATTTTAATTAAAACTACTTTACAG